AAAACATACACCAGTGCCACAGTTTCTACATGTACCATGTAGTGACTACGTTCTCTCAGGTGTACAATTATTCTCCTCCTCCTTTTTGGATTTGCTTCTCCCCTGTTGCCATAGCTATCCTGACCCATAAGTTTCCTACCTAATATTTCAAGTTGGTATTGTCACTTTGATTTCAAATACCCAAACCAAACCCATTGCCATCAATTTTGACTCATAGCAAACCTAAATAGGGTTTCTGAGACTATAAATCTGTATGGGAGTTAGCTAGTCTCACCCTTCTCTCTTGGAGCAGCTGGTGTGTTTGAACCTCAGACCTTGAGTTTAACAGCCCGATGCCTAACCCATAGCCACCATCAGAGCTCCTTTTGATTGCATATTCTATTGTTGTTGAGTGCAGTCGAGTTGGTTCTGACTCATAGTGACCCTTTGTAGGGTTCCCAAGGAACAGCTGTGAGTTTGAACCACCATTTACAGCCTCGGACCTGTACAGCGTCGCTATGAGTCAGAACTGACTCCACAGCACACAGCCACCATCACCACCTTGTAGTTCAAACTGACTTTTCAGTCCAGTGCTTATCCTACAGCACTACACCAGGACTCTTTGATCCCATATGTTGTTGTTAAGTGCCGTTGAGTCTGTTCCTACTGATAGTGACCTTGTGTAGGGTTTCCGAGGAGCAGCTGGTGGGTTTGAACCACTAATCCTTGTAGTTCAAATGGACCTTGGGTTCCAGTGCAATATCCTGCGGTGCAACACCAGGACTCCTTAATCTCACACTGTTGTCCTCAGTTCTGAATGCTGTTGTTGTTGTTGTTGTTAAGTGCCGTCGAGTCGTTTCCAACCCATAGTGACCCTGTACAGGGTTTCCAAGGCTGTAAATGTTGATGGGAGCAGAAAGCCTCATCTTTCTCCCATGGAACAGCTGGTAGTTTCAAACTGCTGACCTTTAGATTTGCAGGCTGATTCATAGCCACTACGCTACCAGAGTTCTGAATAGGTAGCTCTTAAAAGAGCACAATGCTCTAGTAAGACATTTTTTACTAGCTAAGCTAAACTATTGTTTGTTTTTTTAAAAGACTTCAGGGTATACTTTTGGTTTAAGGTTTAAAGATGATCTCAGGGAAATTGTTTCAATGGTTCATCCAGTTGTCATGTCTCTAGGTAGTTTGAAGTCCATGAAAATTTGAAATTCGATTCTACATTTTCCTTCTTTTAATCAGGATTCTTCTACAGAATCTTTGATCAAAATGTTCACTAATGGAAAGTACAGGAGCAACATCCAGTTATCTGGTTTCAAGGCAAAGGAGGCAGTTAGCCACACATTCCGTATCCTTCTCCTGTTCTGACTTTCCTTCTTTCTCTGTTGCACCAGGCAAGTAAAAAGCAGTTGTTTGTGCCTTGGATAGCTTCATGCTAGCTTTTAAGAACCCAGGCACTGTACAACAAACTAGGAGATAGAACAGAAACACTAAATCTTTTATAAAGAATGTCCCATGAAATGATTCCCCACTCATCTGTCAGTTTGTCATATTGTGGTGGCTTGTGTGTTGCTGGAAGCGAGGCCATTGGTGTTTTGAATATCCACAAGGTCACCCCTGGTGGGAAGGTTTCAGCTGAGCTTCCAGACTAAGACAGACTAGGAAGGCTAAAAGGCAGATCACTTCTCAATGGTTAGCCACTCAAAACCTTATGAAGAGCAGCTGAACACTGTCAGATGGAGTGCCAGAAGATGAGCTACTCAGGTTGAAAAGCACTCAATATGCTGAGAAAGATCTGTCTTCTCAAAATAGAATTGATCTTAATGATGTGAACAGAGCAAAGCTTTCGAGATCTGTATTTGCTGATGGGGCACAAATCAACATGAGAAGAACAGCGGCAATGGACTAGTATTGGCCATTTTAAATTGATAATCATATGGTTTACTATGCCAGGAATGGCACCACGTTCATCGTCAAAAAGAGCATTTCAAGATCTATTTTCAAGTACAACGCTGTCTGTGAAAGGATAATATCCATACACCTACAAAGAAGACCAGTTAATAACCGTTTTTAAAATTTACACACCAACCACTAAAGCTAGTTGCTCTACTAACTTCTTCAGTCTAAAATTGATCAAATACACAATTAAGATGCATTGATTATTATTGGTGATCAGAACGCAAAAGAAGATACAGAGGAAGCATCTGCAGTTAGGAAATATGGCTTTGGTGATAGAAATGATAATGGAGATTACAAGATAGAATTTTGCAAGACCGATGACTTATTCATTGCAAATATCTTTTTTTCAACAACATACACAGTAGACTATACATATAGTCCCCAGCAGATGGAATACACAGGAATGAAACTAACTACATTTGTGGGAAGACACGATGCAAAAGCTCAATATCATAACCAAAACAAGGCCAGGGACTGGCTGTGAAACAGACCATTAACTGCTCAGATGCAAGTTCAGGCTAAAGCTGAAGAAAGTTGACACAAGTTCAGGAGAGCCAAAATATGACCTGAATTTAGAGATCATCTTAAGAAGAGATTTGATACATTGATCACTAATGATCCAAGACCAGAGGAGTTGTGGAATGACATCAAGATTATATATGAAGAAAGCAAAAGGTCATTGAAAAGGGAGGAAAGAGAGAAAAAACCAAAATGATTGTCAAAAGAGACTCGAAACTTGCTCTTGAATGTAAAGAAGTTAAAATGACTGCAAGAAATGATGAAGTAAAAAAATAGAACAGAAAATTTCAAAAGGCAGCTTGAGAAGACAAAGTATTAAAATGAGATATGCAAAGATCTAGAGTTAGAAAACCACACTCCGCTTTTCTCAAGCTGAAAGAACTGAATAATATATATATATAATTCAAACCTCGAGCTGAAATATTGAAAAATTCTGTGGGCAAAATATTGCATGATACAAAAAGCATCAAGAGAAGATAGAAGTATACACAGAGTCACTGTACCAAAAAGAAATGGTTGATGTTCAACCATTTCATGAGGTAGGATATGATCAAGAGCTGATGGTACTGAACAAGCTGCACTGAAAGTATTGGTGAACAACATGGTTCTAGGAATTGATGAAATACAAATGGAAATCTTTGAACAAACAGCACTGGAGGCACTCATTCATCTACGTCATTTGGAAGAAATATGGAAGACAGCTTCTACCAAGGCAACCAATTGGAAGAGACCCATATTTGTGCCCATTCCAAAGAGAGGTGACCCAATAGAGTGTGGGAATCATTGAACAATGTCATTAATATCACATGCAAGTAAAATTTTGTTGAAGATGATTCAAAAATGTCTGAAACAGTTTATCAACAGGGAACTGCCAGAAACTTCAGCTGGATTCAGAAGAGGATATGGAACTAAGGCTATCACTGCTGAAGTCAGATGGATCTTGGTTGAAAGCAGAGAATACCAGAAAGATGTTTACTTCTGCTTTATTAATCATGCAAAGGCTTTCAACTGTGTGGATCATGACGAGCTATGGCTAACACTGCAAAGAATAGGCATTCCAGAACAGTTGATTGTGTCCATGAGGAACCTGTATAATAATTGGTCTCAAGAAGCAGTCATTCAAACAGAACAAGGGAACAGAACAATGGTTTAAAATCAGGAAGGTGTGAGCCAGGGCTGTATTCTTTCACCATACTTATTTCATCTGTATGCTGAACAAATAATATGAGAAACTGAATTATAGGAAGAAAGTCACATCAGAATGGGAGGAAGATTCATTGACAAAATGCAATATGCATCTTGCTTGTTGAAAGTGAAAATAACTTAAAATACTTACTGATGAAGATCAAAGACCACAGCCTTCTGTATGGGTTGCATTTCAATGTAAAGAATACAAAAATCCTCACCACTGGACCAATAAATAACATCATGATTGTTGTTGTTGTTAAGTGCCATCGAGTCGGGTCCGACCCATAGCGACCCTGTACAGGGTTTCCGAGGGTGTAAATCTTTACGGGAGTAGAAAGCCTCATCTTTCTCCCGCAGAGCGGCTGGTAGTTTCGAACCGCTGACCTTAAGGTTAACATCATGATAGATGGAGAAGAAATTCAAGTGTGCAAGACTTCATTTTGCTTGGATCCACTGTCAACACTCATGGAAGCTGCAGTCAAGAAATGAAAAGACGTAAGGCATTAGGCAAATCTGCTGCACAGGACCTCTTTAAAGTGTTCAAAAGCAAAAATGTCAGTTTGAAGATTAAGGTGCGCCTCACCCAAGCCATGGGATTTTCAGTAACCTCATATGCATGAGAAAGTTGGTCAGTGAATAAGGAAGACCGTAGAAGAATCGATGCATTTGAACTATTGTGTTAGAGGAGAATATTAAAAGTACCATGGATTGCCAAAAGAACAAACAGATGTGTAGGAAGAAGTACAGCTAGAATACTCCCTGGAAGCGAGGACGACCAGACTTGTCTCTCATACTGCAGACATATTAATTGCCAGGAGGGACAAGGCGTTGGAGAAGGATAAAGGATAATGTTTGTTAAAGTAGAGAGGAAGGCCCCAAATGGGATGGATTGGCACAGTAATAGCAGCGATGGGCTCAAACGTAGCAGCGATTGTGAAGTTGGCGCGGGATCCGGCAGTGTTTTGCTCTTCCAGTGGGCACTGACTCATTGACACCTATCAACTAACTTTTCCTAGATCCCATTCAGTTTAAGTCCAGGCCGCTTCCTGCTAGCAAAGGTGCCAATCGACTTGGAGAGATTTGGGGTCGCGTAGCAAAAGGACCGCACTGAGGATGGCTCCTCGGAGCGTTTCTGCCCTCCGCCCCTCCCTATTGTCTACGGTCTTTAACTCGGTCTCGGTCCGACAGCCTGCTATCGGGAAATCGGGTCTCTGCCTGGCACTCTGGTTGTGTCAGGGGAAGCTGCTCTGGGTTGGATTGGTGATGCCTGGTCGCTGCGGACGCCTGCGCAGTGAGAGGGCCGTGCTCGCGCCGAAGGTCGTGAGATCTCTGAGTGGGCGGGGCACTAGCTGGGACTGCTCGATCCTCCCGTGACGGCAGAGCCATGGCGGACGAAGGGCTGGAGGCCCTGAGGAAGCAGAGGCTGGCCGAGCTTCAGGCCAAAGCCGGGGTGAGCACGCCCGCCAGGCCCGTCCCTACTGGGGCGCCGCCCTCTCCCCAGGTGGAGGGCGCGGCCTCCTGCGGAGGCTCCAGGCTCCGCGTCCGGTGCCCGCCTCGCCGGCCGGGAATCCTACCGCTAGCCCTGGGGCCGGGCGGGGTGGCGGTGTGGCCGACTCCGACGCGGGTTTCAGGCCTTTCCCCCTGCCTTGAGGTTCGGGTGGCCCAGCGGTAGCTGCTGACCACGTTCACCCCGAGCCTGTCCAACCCCGACCTTTCCCGCACCGGGCTGTCCGGTCGGCCTGGTGTTATTGAAGGGTCCTCTTCAAACGACCCGGGCTCGGAAACAGGCCACTCTGCGTCCCCCGGAATCGCTGTGTCCTTAGCTTTTCAGTCTCGACTACTGCCCGTGCTGACGGCTAGGCCGATCGTGTAATAGAACCCAGTGGTGAGGGTCTCCTGTGTGCCGGGGGCCGAGTCGCGGCTGGGAGCGAGCGAGCATCCTTCCGCCTGGACCCCACCGATCGGCAGCGGCAAGCTGCGCACGAAGTCCTGCTTCAAGGGGACCCTGACGTCAGGGAACCCCCGTGTCCATCCGCGTCCTCACGTCCCGGGCATTCTCCCCCACTTGTGGCTTCAAACCACAGAATTCGAATGGCCCTGTTGTAAAACATTCTAGATTTGTGCTTTTAGAAGCTCATCAGAATATTGCAGTAAACGGAAAGCATTCCAGTGACTTGGGATACCCAGCTCATAATTACTTGATGACGCGGATAGGACTTCCTCTCTTCTTCTCTCTCAGAGAAATTATTTGAGAAAATGCTTTTTTCTTGCAGGAGCCGGGCGATGCAGCCCAACCGGAAGCGAAGCACAGGTAGGAGGCTGGAGCGCTGAACTTTTTTGGGAAGATGATTTCACCAACTAGTCCTTTTCTTTTAGTTATTTTAATACGTATGTGAATCTTAACGTTTTCCTGGCGTAGCAATTTACATAAATCATGATCACACAGTATCTTCATTTTCTGATTTTTTGGTTAAATGTGTATGTATGGTGCCCCACAGAAATCGCACTGCAATTACTTGTTGGGTGTTTTTTTTCTCCACTAAACTTTGTTGTTAAGTGCCTGTTGGTTCCAACTCATTGTGACCCTGGAAAGGATTTCCAAGGAGTGGCCGGTGGGCTTGAATCATTGACCTTGTGGCTAGCAGTCCAGTGTTTCTCATACAGCACCACCCCCGTACTCCACTGAACCCTTAAAATCAGCGTGATAACATTACTACCGCATGGGACTATTGTGAAGGTTACGTGGGTACAGTGCCGCACATTCCATTTACTAAGTGCTCAGTTAAGTACTGTTAACCGTTCTTATTGTGGTCCTGGTGTGACACTGTAGGATAAGCAATGAACTGCTGACTGCAAGACGGACGGTTCAAACCCACCAGCCACTCTTCAGTAACCCTATACAGGGTCACTGAGTGGGAAGCGACTCTCTGACATTTAACGACAGCATTATTGTCATTCTTTTACCTTGGTTACTTGGTAGAGTGGCAGGATTGCTGAATCTGATTGCTGCGTCTTGCCACCATCTAACTCAGTTCATTCCACAAATATTTATTGAGCACACCTGGGTCAGGCACTCTAATTTACTTAGTGGCCGAAGACAGGTGGAATAGTGAAAACAGTTTTGAAAAAACTAAAACCACATGAATTCTAAGATGTACTTTTTCACATTTTGACGTCTGAAATAAGGTGCATCTCATTACCTATCAATCACTCTTGCCCCGGAATCTTCCAGAAAGGATTTACTATTGCTTTTATCATCACCTGGGGACATTACTAACCTGAGAATACTTAAAATTAAATCGCATGCTTAAGGTTGCTCTCATTGCACTCCCAACCTGCCCTGACAGTGTGAACATCAGACCTGCAAGGCTTGTGGTATTCAAAATCTCACAGGAGCTTTTCCACTCTTTCCTCCACTCAGGACCAAGGGGAATGTATTCAAGCTTCCTTGTTGGGGGATTTATTTTTATTTACCTTGTACTACGGTACAAATTTAATGTTTGAGCTTTGAATGGGCACATTTCCTGTTTGCCATTTCATCTAGGGTGCTTTTTCTTTCCTAGAAGTACTTAAATAATGGTATGTCTTATCGCCACATCTTCGTTTTCCATGAAGTTGGACGTCATAGTTGATGGCAGGGTTGAAGTACTCAGGAGAGAGACATGGTGTGTGGAAGAGGTCTTCAAGTTGTAGGCCATCTGCCGGAGGACTCCGTAGACGGGAATGGTTAATGTCCATGGCCAGCCCCAGCTCCCTCTCTAATTGCAGCCAAAGCATCTCTTCTTTGGTTTGTTTTGTTAGTGGGTTCCTTGAAGGACTTCGTGTTTTTAGGGAGGAAAAAAAAAGTTTGAAAACCACTGACCTGTGAACGTAAAATTGTCCCTACTTTTCTTGAGTAGTTAAGAAGTCAAGATGGTTATCATTTCACCCCCCACCCAAAAAATAAAAGTGTGTTATTAAATCCTTTGTAGAACTAAGAGTCTTAAAACATAGGATGTGGTCCTAGAACTCGGTCTCTAACATAGCTTTCCTAGGGCTCAGCGGCTTCATCTCTAAAGAAAGTAGGCTGATTCATCTCTTGGTCGTTCTAAATGCCTGATCAAAAACAAACTTGTGCTGGCAAGTCACTTCTGACTTACAGCAGCCCTGTATAGGGTTTCCGAGGCTGGCCATCTTTACAGGAGTGGAAAGCCTTCTTTCGTCATTTCTGAAGTTGTTGTTAAGTGCTGTCGAGTCAGTTCCGACCCATAGCGACCCTGAACCGGGTTTCTGAGGCTATAAATCTTTACAGGAGCAGAAAGCCTCATCTTTCTCCCGTGAAACAGTTGGTAGTTTCGAACTGCTGACCTTGCGATTCGCAGCCCGATTTGTAACCACTACACTACCAGAGCTCCTTAACTGCCTGATAGCTCGCCACAAATTTTTTAATGCTTGTCACTCATTAGGTGCATAAATAAATGGTGGTGGTGATGGTTAAACTGAGACTCCACCCTGAATGATGTACATTTACATTGAAAACTTTTGGTAGAGTTCTAAGTGTGGTACTGTAGGATAAGTACTGGACTGCTAACCTCAAGGTTTGTGGTTCAAACCCACCAGCTACTCTGCGGGAGTAAGATTTACTGTCTTGGAAACTCTGTAACGGGGTTACTGTGACTCGGAATCAGACCAATAGCCTTGGGCCTGGGTGTTCTTGTTTTGTTTGAATCTGGCTTTGGGGACCAGGACACTTCTCCTTTACTGTCACTACTACCAGCTGCACAGCACCGGTGTCGTCAAGTCTCCGTTGCCACAGGCTTCCATCATGAGATACTTGTTAAGCTACTTGCTTATATGCTGGGTAAAAAGCTGACCACTTAGTTCTAATTTTGTATGTCCTGTGCTTTTGTTGTAGGGAAGCAGAAATGAGAAACAGTATCTTAGCTCAAGTTCTGGATCAGTCAGCCCGGGCCAGGTGTAAGCATCTTCCGTTTCCTTTATTCCCATACCCAATAAAATGGGCTCTCGTTAGAGTTGATTAGGAAAGCATATATGAAAGATCTCTAGATTAAATATTTGTTTCATCTGAAAACTTTAGAACTATAGGTTATTTGTAAGTGTGACAATTATAGGGAAGCATATATGAAAGATCTCTAGATTAAATATTTGTTTCATCTGGAAACATTAGAACTATAGATTGTTTGTAAGAAGTGTAACATTTATAAGCCTAAAGAAATGTACTTAAGTTGTCATAAAATCCCAGCTCAATTTTCCTTTACTGTAGAGAGCGCCTAGCTGATCCAATTTATAGGTGAGATTGAGTCAGTCATAGAATGTTGATGTCGGTGATCAGGACTTTAGTATGTTTGGAATTTTTCATAATGAAAACTGAAATGAATACCATGTAGAAAGGAAAAATAAGTCAATCAGAATGATAATTCAGTCAGATAATATAGTCAGAATTATAATAGAGTCTATCTTTACCTTTTAGAAATAAGGTAAAAAAAACCTCTCAGTTAGGCTACTAATTGTGTTTCAGATTAACTGAAAAGTATTTCTATGAGAGTGTTTAACTCAGGGTAGGTTTGGTAGCTATTGGTGTTAGTATGAAAGGTGTGACTAATTAAATCTGCATTTTGTTGTTAAGAACCTTCGAATCAGTTCATACTCACAGCGTTCCTGTATCAGGTTTCTGAGTCTGTAACTCTTTACAGGAGCAGAAAGCTTCATCTAGCTCCTGCAGAGTGGTTGGTGGACTGAATCACTCACTTTGTAGTTCACAGTCTGGTGATAGTCCTACAGAGCCATGGGTGCTCAATTGAATATGTATGGTTGGTTGGTTGGTTGGTTATGTGCTGTGGAGTCGCTTCTGACTCATAGCCACCCTGTACGGGGTTTCAGAGGCTGTAAATCTTTACGGGAGCAGAAAGCCTCATCTTTCTTCCACAGAACAGCTGGTAGTTTTGAACTGCTGACCTTAAGGTTTGCAGCCCAATTCGTAACCACTACACTACCAGAGCTCCTTTTGAATATGTATAGCAACGAATAAATTGTTTCCTAGAGGGCAAATGTGTATTTTTAAAAAGCAAAATGACCTGAGGACCCAAACTTAATCTTAACACTACCTCTGTATGGCCTTGACTCAGACTAATACTTGACTAAAATGCAGCTAAACTTTCGTTTCCTTGGTTTGAAGGAGAACAGCAATATTGATTCTTGGTGTGGCTCTGTAGGATAAGCACAGAACTGCTAATTGCAAGGTTGATGTTCAGACTCACCACCTGCTCCTCAGGAACCCCATGTTGTTAAGTGCCATCAAGTCGGTTTCAACTCATAGCAACCCTGAGAAGCAGCTGCTGGGTTTGAACTGCCAGCCTTGTGGTTCGCAGTCCAGTGCTGAGCCTCTAATGCCACACTGGGGTCCTGGAAATCCTATACAGGGTCACCGTGAGTCAGAAGCGGTTCAGCTGCACTGACGACAATCACCTACTTGATGGGCATGAGACTAGAGTAGTGGATGGAAGTGCTCTGGAAATGTCAGTGCGTTTACTTTTGACACCTGTTTTGTTTTGTTTTGTCTTCTAGTAAGTAATTTAGCACTTGTAAAGCCTGAGAAAAGTAAAACGGTAGAGAATTATCTTATACAAATGGCAAGATTTGGACAACTAAATGGGAAGGTAAGTTTGAACTGCTTTGAAGCAACTCCAGCTATTTCATTTTTTATCAAAATACATCTTCAAAAGGCCAATTTCATGTTCATCTGAATACAGAATTATTGTGGACTAATTTTGTAAAGAAACTGTTACGAAGGTAACAGTTGTACCTACCATAAATCCTAAGATTACTAAATGTCTGAAATCCTTGTTTCTCTCTTTTCCTCACAAGTTTGGCTGGTGTCTGTCACCCTGTAATTCCTAGGGTCAGCTGGCCTAAATTACTTCTCCACTGGAAAAAAGATTTGTCATTACTCCCAATTAAAATAGTACCATGTAGATAGGAGCTAGGCTTATTTTGCAAAGAGGGGATAACTAAAATTCCTAGATTATAATGTGTGCTGTAAGGTCTTGATGGATATGTTCTGGTTAGCCTGACCTGTCTTCAAGATCCAGGCAACCAGACTGCCGGAGCACAGACGCTGGATGAACAGCTAAAACGACTGCCCTGAAATCATCTTTAGACCTTGAACCAAAAATATACCTTAACACGGCAACTCAAGTCAGATAGTGGGCAGTTAATGGGGGAGAATGGCTACACAGCTCAAGAATGTAATCAGTATCACCGAAGAGTCTGTGTAGAAAGTCTTGAATTGGTGTACTGTGGTGTATATTTTAACAAAAAAGAATATATAATTTTTTAAAGTGAGATGCATCTTTTAAAAAAAAAGACCCAGTGACTCTAGATGAGAAGCAGGGCAGCAGTGAGACCAGGTTCATAGGACCAGAACAACTCAAAGGGAAATAAGGAGACCATTGACACAATGTAAAGAATGTAACAGTGCCCCCTGACCATTTATAGATACCTTTAAATGGGCACTTTTTTGCTATGTATACTTTCACCAAAACTACGTTAAAATATTTTAAGGAAAGATCCAGAGAACTCCACCTGCCCTGGGAAGCCCTCAGCTGCCACCCCAGCCTACCAAGGGCCCTCCCCCTGAACCCTTTACATGAAGAGCTACTTGTAGAAGGCAGTGACTGGTTGGTCTTCCTATGAGTATGCCTTTTCTCCTTCAAGGCAGCATTGAAGTCTGCCTCACAAGGGCAGAGGTAGTTTGTATCCCTGACATTTATCATGATAAGCTGCTATGGTGGTTATGTGCCGTGGAGTCGGTTCTGACTCATAGTGACCCTGTACAGCGTTTCCGAGGCTGTGTATCTGTACATGAGCAGAAAGTCTCATCCTTCTCCAGCGGAACAGCTGGTGGTTTAGAACTGCTGACCGTGAGGTTAGCAGCCTGACTCATAACCACTACGCTACCAGAGCTCCCTGATACCTGGTGGTGGTGGTAAGTGCCTTCGAGTCAATTCCTACCCATAGTGACCCCGTGTAGGGTTTCCAAGGAGCAGCTGGTGAGCTTGAACCACCGAACTTTCAGTTCAAACGACTTTGCAGTCTGATGCATTAGACCACAGTGCCACACCAGGACTCCCGATACCTGGTGTAAGTGGTTTTAATTTTCTGCTATCGATGACAAAGGTGTTTTTAAATGAGTGTTAACTCAGAATTTTTCCAACGAAGCTACTTGATGGCTGCTTTTCCTCCCCTCCTGAAGTGAGGACTGTTGTGAGGTATCAAGTTGATTCTGACTACCTAGCAACCCTCTGTGTGTTGGTGGGCTTCTGAGGAGTAGATGGTGGGTTTGAAGCTCTGATCTTGCAGTTAGCAGTCCAGTGCTACAGCGCCACAATAGGACTCTAAGTGAGGAATAGCAGAAGAAATTTTATTTCAAACGTAAATTATTTACAGGGGTTGCAGCCTTCTGCCCATCACTCTTTCCCTTGTGCTCTCTATCCAAAACTTCAGAAAGATTAAACCTGCTGAGGTAACTTCTTTGTTTAAAATGTAATACTTTTCTTTCTGGTTATTCTAGGTATCAGAACAAGGCTTAATAGAAATCCTTGAAAAAGTAAGCCAACAAACAGAAAAGAAAACAACAGTTAAAGTAAGTTTCCCAAAATGCAACTGTTTTGTAAAGAAAGTATTGACATTTTCAACGTTGTGATGAGTATACACCTATTTCAAAACATGTCCCAGCCCATAGACATTTTCATTTTGTAACAATGGACATTTGGGGAGAAAGCTCAGACATACTGGAGGGGGCTCTAAAGAGAAAATATACTTCAGGTTTTCCTGTCCCTCTCTCTCCCCCCTGTTGTTAAGTGCCATCCAATTGGTTCTGACTTATAGCAACCCTATGTAGGGTTTCCAAGGAGCCGCCAGTGGATTGGAATTGCCAACCTGTGGTTCCCAGTCCAGTGCTGATCCTTCAGCGCAACCCCCTCCCCACCCCCGTCTACACTCAAATCACTTCATTGCTTTAAAGACTCAGAAACGTCTTGCTAAAGTACATGGAAAGTTCTTCTCAGAAAGCTGAGTCACACTTATGAAACGTATTTTGTGACACTTGTTTAATTTCTCTCCCCAGTTCAACAGAAGAAAAGTAATGGACTCTGATGAAGATGATGATTATTGAATTAAAAATGTTTAGACTGGACCTTAATGGAACAATTTTAGAACCGATAATACTTGGCAAAAGTTATGATCTGGTTAATGTTTACTTTGTTTATGCCTTTTAAAAAAAATAAAATAAACTTGTTATGCAACGTAAAACCGTTGGGACAGAGTTGTTAGTATGGAAGCCAAGTGAACTATATTTTGAATTTTTTCCTTTCCTGTCAAAAGTTTATCACATGTAGCAGCAAAAGTTGTTAAACGCATGGATCTGGTCCCGTAAAGCTTTCTGTCTAGGAACTGGACGGGGCAGTTCTGCCCTGCCCTGTGGTGTCCCTGTGAAATGGAATGGACTTGATAGCACACAGCAAGAAAAGCAGCAGGAACGGAGTTTCTGGATATCGTGTCAACAGGCGCTTGGCTATTATCTACCCAGAAGCACCTTGGAAGAAAGCTCTTTCAAGATCTACTTTTGAAAAACCAGCCATTAAGAACCCTATGGAACACAGTTCTGACATTTGTAGTTGATGGCAACTGGTTTGGTTTTAGCAGCGTGAGTATATTCATGGAACTGTGACGTTAACATTAGGGGAAATAGCCTTTGCAGAAACAGAAGCTGCTGAAGACAAAAATGTTGAAGCCAGCAATATTGTAGAGATAAAAATCCATGAATTTAAGCTAAATACATGTTTGTATTTGAACAGGTGTGGCCCTGTCGGTTAATGCACTCGTCTGCAAAGTAGGTTTGAACCGCAAGGTCTGCAATTCAAGCTTGCCGGCTGCTTTTCAGAAACTCTATACAGGGTGGCTACGGGTCGGAATGACTTGATGGTACTTCACAACAACAATGTAAGTCACAAGTCTGAAAGCAAGTAAAGCTGTTTTCCTACAGAGGGTACTGAATCTGCCACTTAATACATTGAATGTCATTTATAATCTAGCAAATATCAGCCAAAATAATTGGGACCTAGTCGTCGTAACACGTCAAGAATAATTAACATGTTTGTAAAGAGGAATGACGTCTAGTGATTAAGATCCAGTTGGGACAGTTAATCAGTGAATAAGAAAGTGATTTAAAGCAAAATAGCTTCTCATACTAGGCTTTGCGTTCATTGGCTCATGAAACAAGACTAACTTTGCACTCAGTTTAAATCATAAGCTTATCTGAGCTGTTTGGTGTAAATTTTTAAATGTGAGTCCCAGCCCAGGAGCAAATTTATCATTTAAGATGAACTTAAGAAATACGGGAAATGTGGTTTACAACCCACCCACCTCTGCTTTAGCTAGCATGTCAGTACATTGCTTAAAGTGTTTCGTGCTATCAAGTTGCTTTCAACTCATAGTGACCCTATAGGTTTCTGAGGCTGTAAATACTTATGGAAGCAGAATCCCACAAAACCACTGGTGGATTTGAACCGCTAACCTTACAGTTAGCATCCCAACTTGTAACTCTATACCCCCAGGGTTTCTTAAACTTTATTATAGTTTACTGTTACAACAGTTAGCTATGTAACTCTAATCAGTGAAGAAACTTAGTGTTGGAACAGACCATCGTAAAGTAAAAATTGATCTGGAATTTTGAAAAATAAAAATCAAGTAAGCTTCATTCCTGAAATGCTGGGAAGAAATTAGTTCTCAGCTTTGTTGCACACGCTCTGCAGCGAAATGCTATCTCACTGCGTTAAATATATTCCCATGTTATACAGCTGTGTTTTACAGCATAACCACTGCCCAGTTTGCCAACAGCCAAACTCTCCTTTACAGATATTAAGGAGAAAGAGAATCTTTGTATCTTGTTGGCAACACAGGGCTAGCACACAGTTCTGTCGAGTGCTTATTCTAAAACTCTCAGTAAACTGGCAATATTTTGACTTCAGAATTTTATTATGTAAAATAAATGCAGGCATTAAAACTTATGAACTGTCCGTTTCATTTTAAGTAGAGAGTGCATTTGAAGAAAAATGTTTTTAAAAAATAAGAGGTGGCTTCACTGGATGTAGCTCAGGAAGGAGTCTTCCCCTCGTAGGATCCAGGTGCAGCATCTGCGGGGGAAGGGCACACCCAGCTGGGAGCCTGGAGGTGGCTGTCCTGCCAACTTGGCCTTTATCCTGGCTGTAAGATGGCAAAGCGATTGACTTGTGTCTCTGCATCTCTTACCTCATTGGGCAGTTCTAAATAAGGTTATATGTAAACAGGGAGTCCTGGTGTGGCGCTGTAGGTTAATGCGCCAGACTGCAAAGCCATTTGAATTGGAAGGTCGGTGGTTCAAGTTCACCAGCTGCTCCACGGAAACCCTATACAGGGTCGCGATCAACTCAACAGCACTTAACAATACGTAAATATGTTTTCACACATATTTTGTGCTGTCCAAAAAGTAGTCAAATTAGTTCTGACTCATAGGGAACTCTGGATAAAAGGTTTCTGCGGCTTTACAGCTTTGTGGAAACAGAAGCCTCATTCTTCCGTGGAACTGCTGACGGACTTGAACCGCGAAACTTGATTCACAGTGCAGTGTTTATTCTATGGAGCCACTGTGCTCCCTGCAAAGTTGGGTGGTATCAGATGTATTTGCAGTTGGAAATGGCTGTTGAGATCCTGCCTAGCATAGGGGTTCCTAGTGAGGATGGTGTAAAACCGCAGCAAGTTACTAAGAAGGAAAGTGCACCAGTGTCCATGTCCTGTTTGGGCTCTGAGGCTGTTTGATCTATACATTTCTTTCTCTGACCTTACCCCAGAAGTAGTATAGGAGTCCCTGGGTCATACAGACAAGCACCTGACTACTACTAGCCAATGATGGGCAGCTGGAACCCCCCCCCCCCCCCCATGTGCACCTCTGAAGACAGGCCTGCCATCACAGCCTACAGAGAAGTTCTACTCTGCACAAAAGGGGACACTGTGAGTCGGGGTTAACTTGATGGTAACCAACGAGTAACAGTGATGGGCACTGTCTCAACTAGATTTAGTCAGCCCTGGATTTAGTCAGGTGACCTGGCAGGAATACGCAGATGTTTTGACTGGCATGTAGATCATATAAGGGCAGCCGTTCAAGCCTACCAGCCACTCTGCGGGAGAAAGATGCACAGCCTCATATTACACAGGGTCACCATGAGACAGAAGGGACTCGGCAGCACTCAACAGTTAGATAGGGAACTCGGAGTGCAGCCTACTTGTTTTGAGTGCATATCCATCCAGTGGGAATACGTTTCTCCACGTTACTAGAGAGACCAGAAACACTCGTTGTTTTCATAACACAGTGTTAACTAAAAAAGCACACCATGACACTCAAGAATCATAACGTTTACTGTTTCTTTTCCATCATTTGGCACATATCCAAGGCACATTAGAAAATTAGAAATCATAAATTACTTTGTAGAAAAATAATCAATTCCTCCCTTCTCTCCATTTGCAAGGATTTCCAAGAACATGCACAAACCCATTTCCCTATTACAAAGATATTTTTGAAAATGTAGCCAGGACATTTGCTGCTCTAGACCAATTGATAACAAAAAAATAATCTCAGAATCCATAGAAATTTATAAAAAGGAATAAACGGCAACACATTCTAACTTAAGAGAACCTGGTTTGTGCTCTAAAGTTTGGATTTGAATAAAAAAAGATGTGCCAAATCTATCTAGCTCAGTAACGGTCCTTCAGGTGTGACATTTATGGGAAGGAGGCTCTTCCTGGAAAGGGATGTTTCTAAAGGCATCGCTACAAGTGCACATTTGCAGTGATAAGAGCTCTGCTTACTTAGTTGGAAGAGAAAATTAGAGTCTCCTTTCCTATGTACACAGTAGGGGACAAGTCTGATGATGGTCACGGGAATGAATGTCAGTGTGGTGTTTAGGCATCTTTGGGTTCAAGTGTTGCTTTAGGAGTATTTCCTTCATTCAGAAGCAACTTCCTCTGCCTGGCTTCCATATACCAGGAAACCTGAATGCTGCTCAGCTTTATCCCCAACGGGGGACTCTAGCTTACAGGCTGCTAAGGGATGTGTAGCAGACGTGTAGCACCTTTCCGTAGCAGGAGATGAGATTCTGGTGAAGAAATCTCTCTCTGTAACCAAGGAGCCCTAATACCCTGGACTTGAGCTTCTGGACACGACTGGGACTTTTGTCCATTCCACTTTAAATGCACTGAGTAGCTGTGAGGAAGAAGGACAGGAGCAATATTCCAGTGTCCAGTGGAACTTTCTGCTGAAAACTTAGTTTCAGCGCCAGCTGTTTCAAGGCACACTCAGTTCCACGCTGTATTCAGGCTCAGAATGTCCCTTGTGGCGCATTCACTTGTTTCACAATTCCTTATTACTGCAAAGCCTGGGAAACACAAGTCTCATGGTGAGTGGTGAGGTTGCCAGTGGTCTCTGAGCCCTTGGATCCTACTGCATCCTGGACTGGATGTCTGGAGTTTCCACCTGTTTGCGGGAACGGTTTGTTTTGGGGGAGGCCTCTCAGGCTGATGGTTCCTTCCTCCTTTAGTAGCCTGAGGTCTGCTCTGTTCTGGCAGGTGATTGGGTTTCATTGTGGCTCTTTGCTTCCCTGGCTAACAAAAAGGTACAGTTGAGTCAGTTCACGTTCACACGGTACTTCAAGCCACCACCACCACCACCACCACCACGATATCAGCTACCTCTGAGGGTTCAGTGTGTGCCGGACACTGCTCAGGGCTTCCAGGCATCATTTCCATTCTAACGTACCTGTGCTGACAGTGTGACACTCACTGTGTACAACAGGGTTTCACATCCCAAGAAGCAGGTACTATTGTTAGCATCAGCCAAGTCAAGTCACCTGCCTAAAGAGCAGGGAAAAAGCTAGGACCTGACAGAACCCGGGCAGATGTCAGAGTTGTTGCTTTCCCACTGTTAGCAAAGCCACGGAGAGCAGCAAAATCCAAAATCAAAATGAGTCGTGCTGATAGCAAAGATGTCTAAGACAAAGGTACACAACTTGTGTCTATTTGGTTCAAACAAGCCTAGGCCACCCATACTAGAAATCCTGTGTCTCATCATTACTAGCTCTATGTTGGCAAGCAGCAGCAAGAAGTCATGTTTCAGCAGGTGTCTCTTTGTAACTGAGCAGTTAAGTAGTGTTGGAAGGGATGGGCACCCCCTGAACAACTTTATGCTGTATCTGGAGAAGGTTTTTAACCAACCTGTATCCTAGTGTGGTGGATAAGCACCAAACCGCAAGGTTGGCTGTTCAAGCTCTCCAGCGTCTCCTTGGAAACTTAATATATAGGGTTGCTGTGAGTCAGAACCAACTCAATGGCACTTACCAACAACATATGCAAATGGTTTTACCACGATAGTAGTTAGTAAAATCTTGGGTTATTTCACCTATTATACAAACTAAAAGGAGTTTGATGGCACAGTGGTCAAGTATTTGGCTGCTAACCAAAAGGTCTGAGACTTGCAGTCCAAATCTACCAGCTGCTCTACAGTAGAAAGAGATGGCAGTCTGCTTCTGTAAAGATTTGTTGTTAAAAGTGCGGTCGAATTGGTTCCAATTTACAGTGACCCTAGATAGCAGGGGTGCGGAACCCTTTTTCTGCCAAAATTTATAAAATCTTTCACAGGACATACAAAATTATCAACTGAAAAATTAGCCTGCAATGTTTGGTCAAACATTTTATTAACTCACCCCTAATGTAAAGGAGTTCCTGGGGTGGCACTGCAGGATAATGTGCTGGACTACAGGGTCAGTTTGAGCCACAAGGTCAGCGGTTCAAACCTACCAGGCACTCCTCAGAGAACCTATACAAGGTCGCTGGTAGTTGGAACTGAATCAATGGCATTTAACAGCAATGTAATGGCAGACGCCTGCTGAGGTGCTGAGGGCTCAGCACTGGACTGTGACCCACAAGGTCGGCCGTTCAAACCCACCAACAGTTCCTTGGGAACCCTATAAAGGGTCTCTGGGTTGGAACCCACTCAACAGCACACAGATGCTGGCTGGAACTGCAGTTGCCTTGGCAGGGCCAAACCAAATTAGTTCATAGGCCTTACATGACCCATAGGTCGGATGCTTGCCACCTCTGCTGTACAGAAATTAAGATGAACATTAAGGAGAAAGGAGTTTAGCATGGCTTACTTTGAAAAAGCCCCTTTATAAACAATGATTATAAGGAACTCTGGTAGCGTAGTGGTTATGAATCGGGCTGCTAACCTCAAGGTAGGCAGTTCGAAACTACCAGACATTCCGCAGGAGAAAGATGAGACTTTCTGCTCCTGCAAAGATTTACAGCCTCAGAAACCCTGTGCAGGGTCACTATGAGTTGGGATCGACTCCACGGTATTCAATAACAACAACAAACAATGATTATAGGGCAATGTTTAACTCACACGACACAACAAGTCCTTAGTAAAATTAAGGACACTTCTACTTCTTGCCATAATTTTCTTCGAGGTCCTTCCCCTGAAACCCAAAATAAATATTTGGGTATTTTATTTAACCAGACACCTAACCTGGTAACCATTGAGTCAGCCTGATCCACAGCGAGCCTGCAGAGGAGTCAGACCCCCATCTTGATGACAGCACACTGCCTCACCTTTCTCCTACAGTCATTGGTGACTTCAAGCCACCGACCTGGTTGGCAGCAGAGTGCTCAAACACTGCACCACCAAAGCTCCCACACATCTGAGATGTTAAATGCTACTGTGTCTGTTCCGACTCAATGATTACAGGGTAATGTTTAACTCCTGTATAGTTTCTGAGGAGCAGCTGGTGGGTTTGAACCACCAACCTAGTGGATAGTAGTCCAGTGCTGATCCTACAGTATCACACACACCATGATTCTTCCTACAGAAATGTTAAGTGTTGTTGAGTTCCGACTCACAGTGACGCTGTATAGGGGTCTAAGGAGTGACTGGTGGCTCTGAGCCTCGGATCCCTACGTGGGTGGATTGTGGTGGTGATGATGGTGGGGGCTGGCTAGTCAGTTCTGGCTCATAGCGAGGCTGTGAATCTTACAGGAGCAGAAAGCCTCCTCTCGCTCCCAAGGAGTGCCTGGTGAAACCAAGTGCTGACCTTGCAGTTAGCAGCCCGACGTGTCACCCAGTACAGCACGGGGGCTCCTTCCTACAGGGATGTTGTTGTTGTTGTCAAGTGCCATCGAGTCAATTCCTACCCATAGCGACGCTGTATAGGGTTTCCAAGGAGCAGCTGGTGAGCTTGAACCGCAGACCTTGCAGTTCAAATGACTTTGTAGTCTGACGCATTAACCCACAGTGCCACACCAGGACTCCTCCTACAGGGATAGCATGTGAAAATTCTCACTGGCCACGAGGTGGCAGCACTAGTGCTAATCTCTCTCCTCCCCCTGTTGTATGTTAACTATAGGATCAAAAGCAGAGACAGGAACATGAATTTTATTACTTACTGAAATGGACCAGCTGGGTGGGAAAAGTGAAACTCTCTTGAAAAAGGCTCATCTGGTAAATCACACATTTTTGAGTTCCCTGTAGAAAAGTCACATTCCTCAGTACTTCAGGAATCATGTAAGCATCGTTTTAAAAAGTGTCACACAGATGCATTCAATGTTTCCATTTTCGGCGCTTAACAAAACCGAGAACATTAAGGCCTGAATCTGCTTAAAGAAATATATGAGAAGACTCCTGTTTGTGTGAACCTCACAGAAAGAAAAGACAGACCTGGACTGCTCCAACCACAGCCAGGTATGTGACTGAATTTATTCACATTCTTGCTCTGCAAGCTCCCATCATGATTTTAAAAATATTAAAAGTAGACGAACCCCTGCTAAACTAAGTTGAGTCCCCAGCCCTATATGGCAGCTGTTATTCTAATTGCTATTAACCTCTGTAAACTGTCTGCAAAAATACGAAGTTTTTAAGGTAACATTTACCCCCAGGAAATCTCAGAACCCTGGGTCTGGGCACCTGAGGCATGAAAGTAATTTACCAGAGGCTGCAGGTCCTCTCTGGTCAACTGAGTTTCTATGTTACTTCTTAGGAACCATGGTTATCAACCTGAAAACCTGTCACAGCCAAAGCTTACCTCCCCACCCCCAGACAAGTCATGATTCTAATGACATTCTGTGAAAACCAGCAACTACCCTCATGGATTTCTAAATCAACCCAAGCTGACAATTAGAGACAGGATGTATGTGCTTACATTTTTTCCTGATCTTAACAGTAATGTACTCCTTGTGGTCTGTTTCGTCAACATCGTCTAACGCAGCAACACATCTTGGTATTACCTGAAGTAACTCCATTATTTTCGAATTCTACAATTTGGGAAAGAAAAGGTTAACAGCAGTGTTTTATTATTATTTCTTAGCAGGCTGTTGCAAGAGCTCAGAAGCCAACTGCTTTGAAGCCATCGCGCCTAGTGGTTAAGAGCAGCCCATTGGTGCCAGTCAGCCTAGGTTTGCAGCCTGGATCTGACCTCTACGCGATAGTCTGGGCCAGGTATCTAACTGCTCTGTGCAGGGCCTTTGACAACAACGGGACCTGTTACTACAGGGTTATCATGAGGCTAGGGGGAGTTAAAGCTGCTGCTAAAATCACTTAGAACAGGCCTTCCAGTTGCTGTTGAATTGCCTCCGACTCAAGCGAGCCCCATGTAGAACTCGGTTCCACAGAGTTGTCAGTGACAGGGTTTCTCGAGACATAGATTACCAGGCTTTCTTCCGCGGTACCTCTGGGTGGATCTGAACTGCCAACCTTTCAGTTTGTAGCCAAATGCATTAACCATGTGCACTGCCCAGGGGCCCCAGAACAGACAGAGCCTACCACACAGTAAGAACATTCCTCACTACTGTGGCATGACCACGCAGGACTAAGTTAAAAGTTTCAAGTGTTTTCAGCTGTAGGAAGCAATGCCCCTGGCAATTTAGAAATGATACCATGAGCAGGTTGACTCATGGTGACCTTGTCAAATGTGTGATTTAACAACCTACTGGTTGTTTCTCTCAAATAGGGACAGAAAGGGACTTTTCTCCCTACTGTTTCTCCATGGCAGACGGAGAGCGATGAAGTAGTCATTACAGTTCCCCTAACAGGACTCGGGGAGCTTCAAGGCCACAAGCTAAACAAGCCTCCTCTTTTGGGCTGCTATGGCAGCAGGTGCAATGAGGAAAGCTGGATGGTGTCCTCATGTGCTACCTCCCCCCCCCAAACCAAACTCACTGGCTGCAAGTAAGATGTGCCAGAGCAAGGCTCCCCTGCGAGCAGTTAGTGGGGGGTACCTCTTCTCACACCTTTAAAAACTATCCCACAGAGAATAGGTCCTGGCTCCCCAAATACACCACCTCTGATTAGGTGACAAAGGGCCAATCATTTGACCACAGTGGCAGGCTTTCTGGCCTCCCCTGCCAACTCAGTCGAGCCCCCTGAGTCAAAGATGTGACTCTTACTATGCCAGATCTGGTTTAATTGCAGGGCATCAAGAATGAGCCCATTAGAGCTGAGAGTGAAGCATCCAGCTGATATCAAATGAGGGGAGACACGTACGAAAACACCCAAACTTGTAGACAGTACCCATTCGACCTAGCCTCAATGGCTTGAGGATCAGAATTCGACTAGAGGAAGATTAAAAAAAAAAATTTTTTTTTGATGAAGGAGACAAATATAAATTGCTAAAATTTGATGAACTTGTGGATGTAGTAGCTCAAAATACCAACAGAGAGGGAAGGAGTCTTCACATCAAGTATAAGTGCCATCCCCTCTGTATACAGTATGGATAGGGATGGGCAACTTAAACATTGGCTACCTAAAATGAGTCCTGGTGTGGCACTGTGGGTTAATGCGCCAGACTGCAAAGCTGTTTGAACTGCAAGGTTGATGGTTCAAGCTTACCAGCTACCCTTTGGAAACCCGGTACAAGGTCGCTATGGGTCGGAATCGACTCGACGGCACTCAACAACAACCTAAAATGAGGGGGCGATAAAGGTACAAAGGACCGGCTTTCAAGTTTTCAAGAGGGAGTTTAGTTTTCAGAGTGTGTAGGGGAAGGTAGAATTCCATGGAATGGTTTTCATCCTGTCTAGATGGGTCTGGTGAAGAGAGAAGGGGATAAGATTCTTATGATTCAATAGTGAATAACTGTTACCATGACTAATTGGAACTGTCACAACTGTAAAGGCAAGAAGATTTATAGCAAAAAGAGGGGAGAGTAGTTCATCTTACAGTCCATGAACAGCGGACCCTAGGACCATCAAAGGGAGAAGAGTACAAGCTGATAATGTGGGACCCTATCCAGCGAAGCAGCGACACCAGAGATAAGGACATGGAGAGGAAGCAGCTGAGGACTCTAGATTCATGGAAAGAGAGGAACTGGGTGCTGGCAGCCAGGAGGTAGGCTTGCAGAATATGTGCCCTTTGCCCTTTGGTTGTTTAAATGATTATATGTTCCCGAGTGTTTCTGTGTACATCCCAAAAAAAACCCAGAGGGAACAGAAGCAAATTTTGAATGATGATGCACAGAGGGGATTGTAATCACTGCAATGAAACTATGAGTGTAAACCCGATGTTCTCCCATGTAAACTATCACTCAATTCACAACAAAAACTTAAAAAAAAAAAAAAAAGCAAGAAGCTCGGAGCCCTTCAGCTCTCCCCACTCGCCTGGTCAGCACACTCGACAGCTGTGCAGTGTCTCTTGTTCACAACCTCAACGGATGCTCCATGAAGCAGAAGCAACTCCACCACAAAGACGTGCTTTTCTATCACCGCCTCGTGCAGGGCCGTGTTACCTTTGTTGTTAGAGGCGTTAATGGAGGCCCCACGCTAGAGAGAGAAAGGGCACAATGAAAAGTAATGCCACAAAATGCTCATGTCACATCTAAGCAGCAGGTGTTCAATACAAAAGTCTTTTCAACTTTGCAGCACATCTGAATATTTTCTAAATAAAACGTTGGGGGTAAAAGGAATACTGAGAAAAATAGTTATGTACTAAGGCAGTTACTGTAGCCATTATATTAATTTTATGTGTCAATCAGAAATAAAAACAGAAGCCACCTAAATGTCCAGAGCAGAATCAATTATAAAAAAAAATGGGGAAGCCAGAGTTGTGCACACATTAAAATTCAAGGTTAACTGGCTCTGAGGAGCAGAGTCACTGGCACGTGGGCTTTTTTCCCTGCTTCTTTCAATTCTTATCTGTAAACTCACATAACCTTTATCACAAGGGAGAAAAGTGATACTGCTTCAGGACCACAGACTTTTTGTGAATGGCAATAAAAAAAAAACTTTGAAAAGAGATAGTGTGATTGTTGCGTAACATTGTGAATACAGTTAATGTCACTGAATGTACAGATAAAAATGGTTGAAATGTTTTGTTATACAAGGAGACTTCAGGAAAAAAGAAAAAAAAAAAAAAGACATTGTTCATACTTTGTTAACGACTGAACTGACCCCTAGGCAGAGTCTAAAAGCCTTACTTAACTCTGCATCCTGATGGAGCATTGTTCCAGAGACCCAGCTTCCCATCACCGAGTCAACATGGAAATGCAGGTGGATGCAGGAATGAAGGAAAGGGCATAGGCCCAGCCTCCCATTGTCACAGCATGGCCAGCGCGTGGACGTTGCTGAGGCTGTGCCCACTTGCTGACCACCCCAGCCCTGTCACTTGACTCCTGGGCAAGGAGGGCTCCTGCTTACCTGTAGCAGCAGTGCTGCAACTTCGTGGTAGCCATGGGAACAGGCACAGATGAGGGGTGTGTTTCCATTTAGATCCTTCTTATTGGGCTTTGCATTGGAATCTAACAGACACTTCACCACCTGGCCCAAAAGAAAGGTTCCAACCTTAGTTGTTATTTGCAAGGTGAAAAGTCCTTCCATACAATATTCTTTTGACTTTCCTCTAAGGCTAGTTTCAGATACAACTCTGACTCTCAGAAGAAAGGAGATCAACTGAAGGAAGGGCTGTTGAGCTGTTGGTGGTGGTGTCACGCGTTAACTCAGTTCCAACTCCTAAGGATCCTGTATAGAGTTTCCGAGGATTTTTCCATTTTGGGGGGTGGGGGAGCTGCAGAATTTGATGTTTCTCCTGCTGAGTGGCTGGTGACCTTGTGATCTGCTGAGGCTAAGAAGCCACCATGCTCCTGAAGGGAAGGGGAGGGACTAACCTCACAGAGGACCTATTGTGCACAGGGCAACGTGCGAGGCACTATCAGACTGGATCCTCTGGAGCAATGAAATAACTATTCCAGTTTTACAGATTAGGACACGGTGAGCGAGATGGAAGACCTGAAAAAATACAGGGGTAAGTCGTAGAAACCTTTATTACTCAAAAAGGAAGCTATTGTTTCTTGATGTCCATCTAGGTCTACACACTTCCAAAGGCAGTGTTTTCCATCTCTCTAACCCTTCTCCCTGGTGTGGCACTGGAGGATCAACACTGAACTTCAGAGCACAAGGGTGACAGTTCAAACTCACCAGCTACTCCTCGGAAACCCTATACAGGGTGGCTGTGCTCAGAAACAACTTGACGGGCCTGAACAACCCTTCACTGGGAGTCCTGGTGTTGACACTCACTATAGGACTGGACAACGCACTGCAAGGTCAGTGGTTCGAACCCACCAGCCACTCCTTGGAAACCCTATGAGTTGGAACTGACTCGATAGCACTAACAACCCTTCCCCTAAGAATTCTGTGTTCAATTTATATCATGTTCAAATGGCAGTTCTGGTCTCCTCCAGGGACTCAGATCACGTCCTTTTCAATGATGAATTTTGGGATTACAAAGAAGTTTGAAGGGGCCGGATCAGGGCTATAGGGTGACTGGGGTAAGGTTTCCCATAAAATTCTCCTAGGACAGCCCTTGCTACCCTAAAAGAAAGAGCAAAGTGCACTGCTGTGATGGGGAAAAAAAGGACTCGGTACAACTTTTCTAATCAGTGCAGTTTCCAATTTTCTTAAAACTTTGTCCTAATAAGCCCTTGTAATCATTCTGTGTCCTTTGAGAGGAAACCCATCCATATGGCCCCTTGGGAATCATAAGAAACAGCATACCCTTCCTTCCGAGCTCATCTCTCTGCCTTGAATTCACCTGTGAGGTCTTCCCAACTTGCCTTAAAACACTTTGAGTCATCTAAAACCATGTTTTAGGTGGGACAGCATTCCCACAAACTTGTTGTAAAGCTTCAGTGATTTGGGAAGATGCCCACTTTGAGTTTTCTTAAAAATTTGCCATTAACCCTGATCTCAAAATTGTGTTTTTCATGGCACAAGAAGTTTTGGACTTTTTTGAAGGCACCTTTTCATGAGAGTTAAGACATGTGCGGCCACTTCGAGAACTTGTCTGTAGCCATCCAGTGATCACGGAGATATGCTTACCCACGGTTTATGTGGCATAAACCCATGCATGTATGTAGCAATACTCTTAAAAGCTTATCCTCGTACACTGCATCCTTAAAAAACTTACAGTAGAATTGAAAAAGGTAAAAAACAAAATCGTGTGTAAAATTTCACAAAGAAAAACAGGACAAAAATGACAAAAAAGCCAGTTTTTCCTCAGGTACCTCTTGTCTATGGCTTTATGAAGCACTAAATTGATGGGCACAGACCGTGGCTGTGGGAATGCAAAGGCAGTAACATGACCAAACACCAAGGACAGCTCCTGCAATGGTCAGTCAGAATGACCTTTCTGTGTTGTCGGTTACCAAGTATGTCAGGGTTGGGAGGAAGAGATGTGCGGGTCCTCTCTCTGACTGTCCACCAAACCCTCGTCCTCTGTAACAGCCCCCACAACTGAAGGGGCTAAAACCAAACAAACCTGTCCAGAGGCAGAGTCCGTACCTCAAAGTGGCCCTGCTGGCAGGCCAGGTGGAGTGGAACGGCCTGATCTGCATTTCTGGCCCCGACATTGGCACCGTGCTTCAACAGGAGGGGGATGAAGGTGGCCCGACCGTGGAGAGCAGCCACGTGCAGAGGGGAGGAGCCATCCTGGTTGGTCACATTCACACTAAGTCCACTGGCAGGAACCTTCGCCAGCTTCTAGAAAGTGCAGAGGATGGACAGAGAAATGCCATTAGTAATTACATTGGGCTGAGGGAACTGAAGCCGTCAACCTCTGACACTGCTACACAAAACATACATTCACAGTGGGGTCCAGAATCAGATACTCACAGGTGAATCCCTAGTATCTTAGCAAGTCCAATGTACACAAAAATTAACTTCCCTTCACATTATTCAGTAATCTACCTTGAATAAAGCATGCCCCCTATGAGAGCCCATTATACCAGGGCAGTTCAAGGATGAAAGGAAAGTCGGTTCAGCAAATGGTGGCAAAGCAACTGGATACCTATAGAGCTGCTCATCAGCCCAGTTTCACATCAAACCCAAGAACGAACTCAAATGCATGGCACTTAAGTAAAAGCTACAATGATAGAACTCAAAGGAAATGGGAGGAAAACTTGGCATCACCGAGTTAAGCAAAGATTTCTACTTTTTTTTTTTTTAAAAAAAAGTCAACCGCAAAAGAAGTGTATAGATAAGACTAGCAAAAAAATATATAAAATGAAAGATAGTTTAAAAAACAAAATGCAAGCCACAGAATGGGAGAAAATATAAGACAAAAGACTTTCTATCCAGAATACATTTTAAACAATCAAACACTTCGAACTCATTAAGAACTCCATTTTTTTTAAATAAGCAAAAGATCTGAATAGACCTTTTGTAAAACAGTCAACTAGTCCATAAAAAGATATTCAACATTATTAAATATGCAAATCAAAGCCAGGAATGACAGAACCAAAAGGTCAAAAACAAAACAACAAAAATACAGATGAGTGATCGTCAGGAGCTGGAGGGGGGATAACTATAAGGGCAGGAGACAGTATTTTGGGTAAGGGTATTCTATTGCAGTGATCATGCAATTCTGCAGCTCTGCATTTGGCAAAAAGCTCATGAAACTGCTAAATTAAAGGGTGGATTTTACTGTGTGTAAATATGCCTTTAAAAAAAACAACAACAAAAAATCAGAATATCCCACAAGGGAACCCCACTGCACACTCACTCAGACGTCGAAAGTTAACAAGTCAAACAAGCTATCAAGTGTTGTCAATGAGGAACAACCAGAACACTCTCAATTGGGTGGTAGGAATGTAAAGTTTGCAGTTTCTTATGAAGTTACACATCTACTTAAATCATATGACCTGACAATTTCACTCCTAGATATTGCATACAAATGCTCACGGTCATGAAGCCAAAAACTAGACCTACTCAAATGTCCAGCAGGTGAATGGATAAACAAATTGGTAGATCTAGTCAATGAAACCCTAACTCAACAGTAAAGGAAAACAACACATTGATCAAACCACCTGGGTCTCAAAACATGCTTAGTGAAAGAAGACACAGAAGAGTTTATACGCTATGAGTTCATTAATATGAAATTCTAGAAAATGCAAAACTAATGTATAACGATTCTTAATGGGATGGGATAGAAGAGGACACGGTCTGCCAAAGAATGCCAGGAAAAAAACCAAACACTTTTGGGTGAGACGGAAATGTTCTCTACCTTGATTTGTGATAATGATTTTAAGAGTTTGTGTGTCAAAATGTGTATATTTTAAATGGGTATGGTTTATTTTTGTAAACTGTACTTCAACCACGTTATTAAAAACAATAGCAAACACTGAATCATAAGATGTGATAGGTGGGTTGATTGAATCGTAGGATTCAGGGACAGTAAGCAAGTTAGTGTTTTTGTGAAAAGGTACAAAAAGGGAAAATAGAGAAGTGATTTTAAAACAGCAGGGACACAGACAGTTTGCATGGGCTAAATGGGACAGAGGTCAATAGTGATGCATGCTCGACCTTTCAGCAACAGGGAGGGCTTCTGTGATACAGGAATCAAGGCATAGCCTGAAGATGGTAATAATACTAAGATGCCTGACTGGGAAACATGATTACAGAAAGTTTGTAAGCCTGTCTTTAGCCTATAACTGATTGGAATATCTAAAAGAGGTTCTAGAAGCTGCCCAGTGAAATAGGCCTCTTACGGAGCCTTTGCAGTATACAGGACCTTAGGTGGAATCCTGAGCCCATCCAGAATCTTCTGAGGTGGGGCATTCCCACTAGAAAGGACAAGTAGACCAGCCTGGAACAGCTAGAGCAACAGAAGATAAGTCTTCCAAGAAAGAGCAGCAGGAAAACACCAAAACAAAAATGGCAGTCTGACTGGCTACTATAAGAATTAAGCAAGTTGTTTGCCAGGAAGCCATCAAGGCAAGCAATCAAATCCCTTCAGGACAAACCCCCCTCTAAAACTGAAACTCAAAGGGAACACATTAGCAGGCATGTAAGCTTGCTGGCAACTTCATTGGTCTACTGGTGAGTGGAAGAGGGGGAAAGGCAGCAATGAAGAAATGGACTGAGTTCAACCATGTTCCACTGACTCCCATTGACCTGGAGATGAGAAAGAGAAGAGGAAGGCCTAGTTGGTCCAAAGTGTGGTGAGACCTGGGGACACCTGAGCCCACTGACAAGGACACAGCCACGGGGGGCTAAAGCTGAGAATGAAGCATCCAGCTGATATGATGTGATGGGAGATGCACAAGAACATCCATACTTGCAGACTGTACCCATTTGACCTAGCCTCGATGGCTGGATAATCAGAACTCGACTAAAGGAAGATAAAAGAATTGTTTTTTATATAAAGGAAAGGAGGGTAAACTGCTACAATTTGATGAAGTTGACCTATTCTCATAGATGTAGTAGCTCAAAACACCAACAGAGAAGGAAGGAGTCTTCACATCAAGTATCAGTGCTATCCCCACTGTACACAGAGTAGACATTGGCTACCTAAAATGAGGGGGCAATAAAGGCATGAAGTGACTGGCTTATAAGTTTTCAAGAGGGAATATAGTTTAAAAGTGTGTGGGGGAAGATAGAATCCCCAACTGAATAGCTTTCATGTTGTTTAGATGGGTCTGGTGAAGAGATGGGTATAAGATTCGTATGATTCAACAGAGAGTAATTAATCTTACTTACCATGAACAGCAGACCCTAGGACCATCAAGGCAAAAGAGCACAAGCAGAATGTGAGACCTCATCCAGAGAAGCAGCAGCACTAGAGATGGAGGCAGAGATGGGGACATGGAGCGAGGGAGCAGCTGAGGACTCTGGACTCATGGAAAGAGAGGGACTGTGTGCTGGTGGCCAGGAGGGACTACTGTCCAAAGGGACTACTGGACCACATGAACATCATCAGCCTGAGCTCAGAAGAACTAGATGGTGTCCGACCATCTACTGTCCAAAGGGAATACTGGACCACCAGGAGGGACTACTGTCCAAAGGGATAACTGGACCAGAAAAACTGAGCTCAGAAAAACTACATGGTGCCTGACCACCACCACTGACCGTTCTAATCTGGATCTCAATAGGAGGTCCTGGACAGAGTGGGAGAGAAATGTAGACCACAATTCAAAATCCTAAAAACGGGCCACGCTTACTGGTCTGTTAGTCACTGGTGGAACCCATGAGACTATGGAGTGGGAAACTAATTGCTCTATAAGCTTTAATCCAAACCAGAATAAAATGCTAAAAAACAACAACAACAAAAAACTGGCCCAGAGACTTCAAAAGCTCAACTTCCTATTGCCCCTACAACAGAGTACTAGACAGTTTTCGCCAGGTAAAAGAGCAGAGCTTACTAGCCGGCATGATGCCGTTGTGATAAGATCAATAAATCCATGGATTCATTACAATAAAAAGAATCTTTAGACATATGAGAGGGCTTCAAGAAGTTCATGGAAACATGGGATCAAAAGATAACAAATGATGTATATTAAAGTTTATATTTAGAAAATATGCCAGTTACTTCGAGGAAATAGGCTAAGTGGCAGAGTTAGGAATGTTTCCCTTAGGAGCCGTATGAGACCACCAGTCCAGGACTTCGAAGTCACACACTTTTAACCAAATATAAAATACACAAAACACCATTACCTGGATCACCCACCTCATTTCAATTTAGCTCAGCCTATTTCCCATAATCAAATCACATCAGAGGTTAAAAACATTTGTGTTCCAACAATGGACAAAGAGAATTACACACCGCCACCAAGTGGGATGTATTCCAGGTATGCAAGGCTGACTGGACATTTTTCAATCAATGAAATTCACCACATCAACAGGTTAAAGAAATATCATCAACTGATGCAGTAAAACCATTTGACAGTAACCAACACCCACTCATGACAAAATGTCTCAACAAGTTACGAGTAGAGAGGAATCAACTCAACTTGATGAAGAGGATCCACAAAAAACTCACAGCTGAGGTGGTTATTTCTGGGGAGAAAGATGAGGCTTTCTGCTCCTGTGAAGATACGAGATGGAACCAACTCAACAGCTTACAACAATAAACAGAAAGGTGAGCAACAAGGGATGGACATCGATTTCACTAATGTTGTTCAACACAGTGCGGGAAGTTCTAACCACTGTAATAAGGCAAGAAAAAGTGAAAAGCATATAGTTGGGGAAGGAAGACAAAAAACTGTGCTTATCTGCAGATGACATGATTATGTAAAAAAAAAACATATAATTTATTTAAGAAACAAACTATTATATAAGTTCAGTAAGATCAGTGACTAAAAGATTAACATACAAAATCAAATTTTTATACTTCACAATGAAAGTCAAAATTTTAAAGTTATTATTTACAATCTCTCGAAAAAAATAGTAACGAAACAACTATGCTGAAAGTTACAAAGTGCTGATGGAAAACAATCAAAGAAATGAAAAAATATCAATTCTCCCCAAATTATTTATAAAACCCAAACCAAAGCCACTATCACTCATAGGACAAAGCAGAACTATTCCTTAAGGTTTCTGAGCTAATGATCTTTCCAGGAGCAGAAAGCCTCATCTCTCTCTTCTGCGGGACAGCCAGTGGGTTTGAACATGAACCTTAATTATAGGTTTAAATGAAGTGGCTGTCAAAAATCTCAGCATGGTTTTAGTAGATTTTAAGACAAGCTTATTCTAAAGTTTATATGGAAAGGCAAAGGTCCAAGAATAGTTAGGAGACTAGAAGTTCACTGTTCTGATATTAACACTTGGTAATCTACAGTAAAATAGTAATTGGTATACAGATATGACATATACTATACTAAATCAGTGTAGACATATAGAGCAATGGACCAGAAATAGAGCTACACAAACAGTTAACAGATTTTTGACAAAGGTGCAGAAGTAATTTAATGGAAGAAGGATTTTCTTTTCAACAAGTGGTACTGGAGTAGGTGGACATACACAGGCCAAAAGTGACCATCAACCAAAGTGACTTGCAGCGCAACCGACCTTACGGCTCACACTGACCTTGCAGCTCAAACCAACCTTGTGGTCTAGCGTATTATCCTACAGTGCCACATCAATGTAGAAGTCCGGTCTTTTCAAGAGTAAGTGCTTTCCACAGCCTTAAAACTGAAGTGTAAAACTATAAAGCTTTTACTAACAAGCAGAAAGAAATCTTTGGAGTTTAGGGCTAGTCAAAACTTTTTACACTGGACACCAAAATCACAAGCCATAAAAGGGAAACCTGATAAAGTAGACTTCATCAAAATTAAGAACATTTGCCCCGTGAAAACCCGTAAGACAAAGGAAAGACAAGCTTCAGACTGACAGTTTCGAAAAACCACCATCTAGAATATACAAAGAACTCTTAAAACTCAACGTTGTTGTTGTTAAGTGCCGTCGAGTCGGTTCCAACCCATAGTGACCCTGAACAGGGTTTCCGAGGCTGTAAATCTTTATGGGAGCAGAAAGCCTCATCTTTCTCCCACGGAACAGCTGGTAGTTTCGAATTGCTGACTTTAAAGTTTGCAGCCCGATTTGTAACCACTATGCTACCAGAGCTCCTCAATAGTAAAGAAAAATAATAATAAATCCAATTAGAAAATGTCCAGAAGGAATGAACAGACATTTCACTGAAGAGCACCGACAAGTCAGCACATGAAAAGATGATCAGCATCATTAACCAGCGGTGTTAAATGCTGGTCAAGTTGGTTCTGACTCAAAGATCTTTATGGGGTTTTCAAAGAGCAACTGGTGGGCTTGAACCATCAGCGTTGCAGTTGAAACCAACTTTGTGGCCTACTGCTTATCCTACATACAGTGCCATACAAGACTCCAAAAATGGTATACTGTTGTTGTTGTTAGGTGCCGTCAAGTCCATTCCGACCCAAAGCCGCCCTGTATAGGGTTTTTGAGAAGCAAACCTACTTTGCAGCCCAGAACATTAATCCACAGGGCCATACCAGGACTCCAAAATGGACTGTGTAGTGTTTCCGAGGCTGTAAATCTTCATGGGTGCAGAAAGTCATCTTTCTCCCACAGAATACCTGGCAGTTTCAAACTGCTGACCTTGAGGTATGCAGCCCAATTCATAACCACAATGCTACCAGAGCTCCTTCCAAAATAGTATAGCCACTCTGAATTTGGAAACTTCATTTTTTTTTTTTTTTTTAAGTTTTTATTGTGAGCTGAATGTTTACAGAACAGATCAGTACCACATTCAGTAAATCAGATTTTGTGTCATTACAATGATTGCAGTCTCTTTCATGTACCATCAGCTAACAGTATTTATTACCTCTATTCACTTTAACCCTTCCACTCCTCTCCCTGTTGTCTTCCACTATCCTTCTTCATCTGTTCTGTGCTAACTTCCCTCTTGTTGTGTATGTTGCCCTCTCGGCACCCAAGCTAACATGTCTACCTTCTATCCAGTGAATAATTTTTCCATTTCTCCCACCCCTGGTAACCATCATAGAATGTTTTGGCAAGAAAGTCTTTTCTTTCTACAACAATGGTCTCATCCAATATTTGTCCTTTTGTGACTACTTTCACTCAGCATAATGTCCTCCAGGAGTCTGGGTGTGGTGCTGTGGGTTAATGCACTGGATAACCAGGTTGTTTTGAACTGCGAGGTTGGCGATTCAAGCTCACCAGGTAACTCCTAGGAAACCCTATATAGGATCGCTATGAGCTGGAACCAACTTGATGGTACTTAACAACAACAATGTCCTCCAGGATCATAAATTTGCAAGTTTCTTGTAAAACTAACTATACATCTATCATATGACCAAGCAATTGCACTGTTGGGCATTTATCCTACTAGAGAAATGAAAGCTTACGTTCTCCAAAAGAAACCTGTACATGAACGTTCACAGCAGCTGTATCAGTGATATTCCCAAACCAAAACAACATCCTTGTCCTTCAACAGATGAGCAGTTCAAGAAGTGTAGTACCTGAATGAATCACCATAGCTACTCAACAGTAAAGGAACGAACATGTAACTCGGAAGCATGCTGAGTGAAAAAAGCCAATCCTAAAAATTACAAGTAAGGTTACATTTGTACAACGATTTTGAAATCCTAAAATGTCACAGAAGTGGAGAACAGTCCGGTGATTGCTAAGGGTTAAGGAAAAGCGAGTCCTGGTTTGGCATTGTTAAGATAAGCACTGGACAGGTAACCACAAGGTCGGTGGTTCAAACACACCAGCTGCTCCTCAGAAACCCTATACAGGATTGCTATGAGTCAGAACGTATTGCTGGTATGGTGATCTAGGATCAGCACTGACTGTGAAACCACAAGGTCAGCGGTTCAAATCCACCAGCTGCTCATTGGAAATGCTGTACAAAGTTACTATGAGTCAGAATTGACTTCCCAGCATTTAACATGAGTCAGAATTGACTTAACGGCAGGCACTTCGCTACAAGGGAAGAGGGCAGCAAAGTAGATGAAGGAATAAGATAGGTATGGTTTCAAAAGGGCAACAAGGGTGATGTTTAGTTGTTTTGCTGATTAAACTGCTCTGGATCTTGAATGCGCTGGTAGATATATAGACCTACACATGTGATAGAGTTGTACAGAGCTAAGCACACATACTCACACAAAGGAGCACAAGTAAAACTGGGGAAGTGTGAATAAGATCAACAGAGTCGATCAATGTCAGATCAGTATCAGTAGACTATACTTCTGTAAGATGCTACCATCAGGGAAACTGGGTAAATGGTACAAGGGACCTCTCTGAACTTGGAGGGAGAGTGGAGGCCTTCCATCAGAAGGCGCACCAATTATGAGCAGAGACAGCAGGAAGAAACAGATATGCAGCCACCTCAGGGGCCTCAGTGTGTGTGTTCACGCGTTCCAGCTGTGGTGCAATGAATTACTTAACGTCCCTTCTCGTCATACTCCCACCAATTGACGGAAATGCTGATGGATTGTAAGTTTCAGTTGTGAGTGACTGTTAATAGGGCAATCGTGACTCGTCGATTTGACCATGCTTTGGGTTTACCCAGCCATCTCAGAAGTAGAGGGGGATCTCACTACCATCAAGGGATAAAAGAGTCAGGAGTATAGCTTGTCCCTTGGACCTTAAGATCCCTGCATACTGACCCCCTCAACACAGGGACAAAAGCCAGAGGAGGGGCAGAAGAGCAGCAACCATAGAACCAAGAGCTAGAACACGAGACAGAGCCCTGGGCTTCCCAGCCCATGGAGCAAGTAAATCGTAGTGACTTTTGGGTAGGAGGCTTGCTTGCAGACTGGGGTGCCTCCAGGCACTTAATTGGCGGAGCTCGGTTGGCTGCCAAGTGCCTTTAAGCTAAAGCTTCATGCACAGCTGAGAGGAGGCTGCCCTGAGCATCTGCTGAGCCGGCGTTGGTAAGTTCCCTAACAAACCCCACGACTGAGTGGGTATGCAGCCTGAGTTCTATGTGGCCGCTTCAATGAATCATCAAAACCAGTTGCATAGAGAGCCGTGTGCGAGGGAAGGCTGCCATGTGACTCGAGAGCACTTAACATGACGAAGGGGCTCGGACAGCAGCAGAGACGCTCCACACCAAGCTGGAGTGGACACTCAGAAACCAGGCAGGCCAAGCCAGACCCCACTCTGGCATCAGCTTCTCTCTGCCCTGAGCTCATCATTCAACTCGATGGCAGTGGGTTTGGTATACGCAGAGAAGCCCTCCTACCAGACACTTAGCCATCATCTGACCGAGAGGCAGAGACCTTTCGTAAAGAAGGGCCACTCCCAACAGAAGCCAAGTCAAACCTTTTGAGCTGGAGCACACTTGGGGCATTGGCACAAGGGGTGACAGAGTTCAAGGTCGCCAGCACTGGCACCAGCCCCATCCTCCACTTCATCCAGTTCCTCTTCTGTCCACTCCAAAAGGTACCGCACCTGGTGTTGGGTGGTAAGGAGAAGCAGGAATTGAAAGCACATTCTTGGCTCCCTTCCAAGTCACACTTTCTTAAAGGTACGCACACAGAAACGGTTCTGAAATCAGGGCCTGCCTCTCCTCAACTGACTAAGTCATTTGCAAATGGCATCTGTTCCCTCAGGAAGATTCCAGGGTTCATCTGAGCTGAAAGCCTTGCTTCTAAATCCTTTAGATGTGGATCAAGAGATTCAGCACCTGGTGAGAGAGTCTTTTCCCTTCCTTATTAAGAGGCAGACTAATGCTATGTTTCGGGTGCTGGCCTTAGAGCCCTGCTCTAGGGCACCAGCGAGCACCTTCATCTCACATTCCTGACTAAGTGTAGGCCTTCCACAACCAGTGAGGCAGCTCCATACCCTTCCCCACGTCCTCAGAACAGGACTCCGAAGCCCAGCTCCATGCCACTGCTCTTTCCTGCAATATGCTAGCTACCTCCAAACAGGTCCAACGGATCTTCTAATACCATACAACATGGGTTCCAAAGACTAGTTTTGGGGAAAACCAAACATATAAATACATTTCTACAGTCTGATCCCAGGCACTGATGAAGCAGCCATGCTTGTGAGGAGTAACAAAGGCTTCTGGGAAAACATTCTCGGGATCCCCAAATGTCTTCCTGGGCCCTTTCATATCCAACAGTAGACATTCCATGAAAGGGAACACTCCCAAGGCCTCTCTTCGGAGCCTCCCCTGACAGATGGGCTGGGACAGAGAAGAGATGAGAAGAAGGGATTAAGAACACAGGCAGGGAGCCACTGGGCAGGGTTGCAGGGGGGCTGCCTATGGCATGTGTAGATGAGTGGGTAGGAGCCAGAGCACCGGAGAGGTATTCTATAGTTCTCCTCCTTCACCAGTGGCCTCACCTCACTCCCCAGGAAGAAAGATGAGCAGATGGGCCACAAACAAGGACAGTCACCATCTCTTTCCCACTGCCTACAGCAGCCCTCCTTCTCATTGTCCCCGAACACTGGTTTTCTCCTGGGGATGGTCTTCAGCCATGGTGTCCAGGCCTTGTGAAAGGAGCGTTGGCAGATACAGAGTCACTGCGTGCCTTTCTCACAGATCACCACCAGCTTCTGGGCAAAGGCTAATGCACTGAGACCACATTCAGACCCTATTACCCTAGACAGCGTTGGAATCCCATCCCAGTCATTTCCATCCACCTCCTCAAACTCCATCACTGCTGAAAAGTACTCATGATACACGAAACCCGGACCCTTGTTAAGGCTCTCTTATCATGAGACTGATTCAGAGCTTCTCACTGGGTCAGAGTCCCTGGATGGTACCAAGGACTAAGCACTGAGAGGTTGGTGGTTCAAACGCATCCAGAAGCACCTAAGAAGGAGAGACTGGCCATCTGCTTCTGAAAGGTGATCCGCTTTCTGGAAAACCCTACAGAGCAGTTGTACGCTATATTCTTGCATAGGGACCATGAGTGAGAATTCAACCTGAAGGCAACTAACAACAAATACGGTGAGCCATCAACTCTCCTTCCTTCAAAGTAGAAGACAGAACACAATTCTGTCCAGAGGCTGAAGGCAAGTCGGTCTCTGCTGTCCAGTAGCCTCATCATCAGCTCCCCTCACAGCGAGCACCATACCCGATACTCACCTCAGACCCTAATGCCTCTCCAGGAGCCCGGCCAGGGTCCTGCCTCAGCCCTCAGGCTCACCACCTCTGAGTTACAGCCCTGCTGCTCCTGGCTCTGGGCCCCCCTCAACCACGCTACACCCAACCCTGTCCTACACACACACACACACACACACACACACACGGCTGTGCACCTTGCCCCCCAGCTACTGAGCCTGGGCTCAGAGCCTCACTCTAGCCACCTCTCACCATCCTCCTGAAATTCGCATGTCTAAGGGGCAGAGACCAGGGTTACTGTGTGCTTTTCAGTCCATCTGCCTCATTACCTGAGAAGAAAATGTAACGTTGGCATTGACAAATGTCCCCTCCCACAGACCGCCTCTTCTCGGAAACGACAGATAATCCACCCAACTCTGAACCCCATCAGCGACAAGTAACAAGAACTGCATATGGCTCTTGTACCGGAGAGAGAGCGAGCTTTGAAAATGTCTTATAAAAACTCACCATTTCTAGATCGCCATCAGCGACAGCTCTTAGAAGCTTTTCTACCTTAAGAAAAGGAAAACAAGGTGTTAGAAAAGTGATTTTTAACAACAGAACAATCACTGTTGTTATTACGTGCTGTCAAGTCAATTCTGACTCAAAAGTGACCCTGTAGACGGTTCCCGGGGAGTGGCTGGTAGGTTGAACTGTGTGGTTTGTAGCCCAGGGCTTGTCCTATGGCGCAGTAACTCTCCTTTGTCCCTTGCTTTGTGGCATTTTAGTGTCTCATTTTGTAATCCACACACATATCCCTCATACCGCTCAGACAGGGCAGCCTGAAAATCTGCTAGTGTGCGTGGAACATGTTCCATCTAAGGTAGCTAAACACTGCTATGTGTATGCAAGCTAAGACGGTGGTCACAGGAGCCTGCAGGGAGGTCAGCCACCTGCTTCGATTTACAACTACATGCACCTAGCTTTCTGTCTCCATTAGCCACAAAAGTGACACCTCCTCCTTTAGACTGTAAGTCTTCTGTTAGGCTTTGAAGCGTTGTTAGGTTTTGAAGTGTGGTCTCCTGGCTGTTTGCTGTGGTTTTGCCTTGAGCTCAGCTGGTCAGCTCTTCCCAGAGCCAGCCACAGCTTGGGGGCTATGGGTAGAAGGGCGCTGCCCAACCTCAGCGGAGTGGGGGGGAACAAGCCATGGTCCATTCGTATAATGTCTACTCCTCTATTAAAGAATGAGGCAGATCTATGTGGTTGACATCGAACACACCAGGTGAAGTCCAAACAGAACAAAGCAAAAATCATCAGTCAGCTTTTACAAAATGCAGCTTTGTGAGATGTGCTCTTGAAAATGTCTACCTAAGTTGCAAGAAGTCGGGAACTATACACTTCAAGCTGTTCAAAGGAGGTACTTACAAGGGTGGAACACGGAAGGCAGAGAATTTCTAACTTTGTAAATAGGTCAGTGGCCCTACAGGTAACTTGACTTGTATGTTTGTTTGTATTCTGTTTTCTCCCTCTCTCTCTCTCTCTCTCTCACACACACACACATACACACACACACACACACACTACACGTAAAGCAAAGAGCCACTGAGGGGCAGACCGTGGGAGCACGGCAGTGAGCCACAGAGTGAGAACTGCGCAGACGCGCCCGCCACAGCTGAGATGTGTCCTTCAGGGATGGCTGGCGAGCAGACTGAATGGGCAGCGACTCTCCGGCTCTTTAACTGGCCACCATGTCACCAGGGCCGCTGAGACCGAGTCCTCTGGTCAGGAAGCCTCACCTCTCTGTAGTCCCTCTTGGTCTCCTCTTGCTTGGAGCTCACCGACACAGAGGAGAAGCTGGAGGAGGAGGACCTCTGGCTGATGGAATCCACAGAGCGCTGAGGGGACTGAGGAGCAGACACCTGTAGTGACAGTGTCCAGACCAGAAAAGACATGGGCATGCAGACACAAAGGGCCAGAGAGGAGGCCCCAGCCTCAAATACAAGGGGCTCCCAAAAAAACTTGTGGTAAAAAAATCCCATTATCTTTTAATTCCATGTTCTACAAATTGTTTGAAGCCCCTTGTATAATTGACTAGCATAGAAAGCTCCATTCGGTTACCTCAGAAGACTTTGGCCTCTTTTCAAAGGTCCGATGACTGGTTTCCATAATAGACAGAATCTGGGAGAAGAGAAAAAGGATATGAAAACTACGGCGTGAACGAGCAGTAACAACGTACCATCGCCCACAGTGTCCCTACTACCTGCCCGTTTCCCACACCCTGCCACAGAGCAGAAACCACAGCCCAGATCTCAGGAGGCCAAACCAAGGTGGGCTTCCTCCCACCTCACCATGTTCCAGCAGGGGGAGCTAGAGCTCCCTCGGAAAGGCCTCAGAGGATTCCAGAAGCCGGGGCACAGAAAGGGCCTCAAAGACTACCTTGTCCAGCCCCCAGGCCTTTTGTCCACAAACATACAGTGTGAACTTTCCACTGACACCCACTGAAACAGTGCAGAGCTAAGAAAGCAGCTTCCTCGCTTCCCCTGAGCTCCTCGGGAAGCAGCCCTCCTCTCTGACCTGGGGCAGCACCCCTTCAGTGCAGGCACCTAAGAGCTACTGCTGGAGTCAGGAGCAGGGATCTAGACCTTTACAAACGGTGCCTCTCCAAGAAAACATTCCCTGCAAGAGAGCGGGGGCCCTTGTAAAGAGAGCAGGTAAAACAGAAAAGAAGGCTGTTCCACAGGAAATGATTGGAGAGCGGCGTTAGAATGGAATTACATGCCACACCACTCATGCACTGGAGGTCTTGATCTCATGGCCTCTGCTTCACACAGTGGCTCTTGCTCCACCGTCACCCCCTCACCACTGACTGGTCTTCCAGCATGCTTCCCCAAGTGGAATCTCTTCTACGTGGGACACCTGGTCTTAATAAGCTACCCCACTCCACACCCTCTAGAATCAACCCTTAGTACTCTCTCAGAAGCGTTGCCAGAAACTACACGTTTCCAGGACTTACTACCAGGAGAGGGTGAATTCCTTCTCTCACTTGTGAGAGCAACTATAGTCAAGGATATTTAAAATTGGTCACATTAGAAAAGGCTTCTTCTAGGAGCCGGGATGAAGCCATGGGACAACAAAGTCTCAGCCCTGGCTGCTATCCTTCCCCAAGCCTGCTTTCCTAGTTCACAGGCCTTGTCCCGTTTTCACCCACTCCACTGGCTGAGAAATCAATAGCACTCAGAAGCTAGGGCCAACTCTACTGGGAGCAGCTCCTGGAACAATGAGAAAAACTGCTGGTAAAACGGAAAACTCACAGAAATGAGTAAAACCCATGATCAGCTAGGTTCCGAGTCCAGGCCCCGTCTTGTACTCGGGCACGAATGCATTATTCGTCCAGCAGGGCAAAGACCTAACCTGTGGACATGGATTATTCTGTTTTTCAACTCATCTGCTGCCCAGCGATGCTACCTTTGAGTTTAATGCACACTTCAGTGGCGTTTCTTTGAGTCTGTTCTGGATCTCTGTGGATGCTCCATTTTGTAACAGCGTCTCTATGATGCCCTGGTAACCCCAACGCGCAGCTATGTGTAGAGGAGTGTCTCCTTTCTCGTTACCAATATCGAGCCGACACGCTTGCACATCGTAGTAGACCAAAGCCTTCACACACTGCAAAGAGAGTGGAAAACGCCACCATTCACGAGCAGGCTGAGCCTTGCAGTGTCTGCTCCCTGCAGCCTCCACCCAGGCCCCATTTCAATCATGGCTCCGCCCATCGTGCAAATGTGCAGGCTCAGAGTGAGACCTCGGGTAGATTCCAGGGAGTAGAGCAAAAGTCTAACTGCCACTGAGCGGCCCTCAGTTACCTGTATCAATGGCTTAAGTGATGGTAAGTTAGTTTTTCTAACTTCTATATGTACCCCGTTTAAGGATGTTGTTGTTGTTAAGTGCCATCGAGTCGGGTCCGACCCATAGCGACCCTGTACAGGGTTTCCGAGGGTGTAAATCTTTACGGGAGCAAAAAGCCTCATCTTTCTCCCACGGAACAGCTGGTAGTTTCGAACTGCTGACCTTGCGGTTCACAGCCCGATTTGTTTAAGGATAGGTAATGAATATTGGTGGAGGGTCAGAGAAAAAGAGGAAGACCCCCAACGAGATGGATTGGCCAAGTGGCAGCATTGATCGACTCAAGCGTGGCAACAATAGTGAGGTTGGCCCAGGATCGGGCAGTGTTTCGTTCTGCTGTGCATAAGGTTGCTATGGGTTGGTACCAACTCGATGGCACCTAACAACAACAATGAATATTGTTGTTCAGTGCTCAACTCCCAACCAGTAACATATCTGCAGAAGAGAGTTACCATAACAGCAAAGGCTGGCCCTAGGGACCCTGGATTCCGAGAGCTCCCTGGAGAAGGGTCCCTGAGCTGTTTGTACAACAATGTAATTTACGGTGAACATCTGCTTTCCTTCTGAGAGTCTTGGAATTTTGAGACACTTTATGCAGAGGGTTCCTACATGGCCAATAAAAACCTTGAACACTGAGTCCCTAACAGGCATCTCTGGTAGATAACACTTCTCACGGGCTCTTACACCTGATTTCGGGAGAATTAGATGTTGCTGGAGGGAAGGACTCATGGGAAACTTGCGTCTGGTCTTCTCCTTGTTTCACCCTGTGTACCTTTGTGGCTCTCGCTTTATAACCATCTGCTGTGATATGTCTTAGTCAAGAGGCCAACTCTACACTACAACCTAGCGAGTCAGTGAACCTGAGGGTAGGAGTCAGTGAACCTGAGGGTAGGAGTCAGTGAACCTGAGGGTAGTCCTGGGCCTCTACAAAATCCAGACAAGAGGACTAGGTCTCTATTTACTGACCAGAGGGTTTCCATGACAGGTGAAGTCAGCAAGGAGTATAAAAACGTGCAGGATCTGAGCCCATTTCTGTGCATCAACCTCCTAGCCCCACTTAAGCCAACACATGCCTCAGTCTGTCTGTGCGTCACTATAAAGAGATGTTGTTGTTATGTGCCGTCGAGTCGGTTCCGACCCATAGCGACCCTGTAATAGGAGGGACCAAATGGCAGGGAAAAGGCAGCACAGCCAGCCAGGTATATGGTGACATGAGAAATGATAAGGACCCTGATGTAACCGCTCTCAATAGAAAAGGTAAAAAATGCCCATGTGCAAAGAGGAGAACCAGATGGGGGCAGGGATGCATGACAATGAGTCCATTTTAGGAGAGGACAATGGGCAGTTACTTGAGTTTGGGATTTCTGCAAAACAGCAAACAAAAACACGATACACCACATGTCCCAGTAATTATGAATCCCCAATACTACAATGAGCCAATGACAAATCATGTCTCCAGGAGAGACAAAGGGTAAGCACAGCTGCTGTCAGGACAGTGCGGCCCACTTACGTCTTCGTGGCCATACGTGCAGGCCAGGTGGAGGGGCGTGCTGCCATTGTTGTCCTGCACTTCCGGGCTGGCTTTGTAATGCAGCAGCAGCAGCTTGGGGGAAGAGAGAAAGCATGGGGTGAACACCAGCAAACCCACAGCGCAGGCCCAGCCTTCTCCAGTCTCAGAAAGGCAAGGTCATTTGTTCCCCACTTGAAATCCTCCATTAATACTGAAATAGGTCCCTCCCATCCTTCCCTACAAAGGAGCTCTGGTAGCGTAGTGGTTATAAATCAGGCTGCTAACCTCAAGGTCAGCAGTTCGAAACTCCGTGGGAGACAAATAAGGCTTTCTGCTCCCATAAAGATTTACACCCTTGGAAAGCCTGTTTAGGGTCACTGCGAGTCAGAACCAACTCCACAGCACATAACCACTACCACCCTCTTTCCTTAGAAAGCATTTAGAGGCTAATGAAAACTATTTTAGCTACCCTTCCTTTCCCGCCACAATAATGGAGAAGCTTCCAGCAAACCCCCAAGGGGTGCCTCCCACTCCCAGTAGGTAGCATGGCGGCAGCACAGCCAGTGTGCAGAAAGGGAGGCAAAGTACTGGACAACCAGCAAAACCCCAAAATCCAAAGGAGGAGGCACGTCATCTGCGCGGCTCGCACATCACATCCTGCTGCTCACCGTCACGCTCTGACAGCCCTTCTGACACGCCAGGTGCAGCGGAGTTGAGCCGTGGTAGTCCATGGCATTCACCAGGGCACCTCTGGAAACCAGGAGGTCAATGAGAGATGCCTGCCCTACAGAACAGAAGCAGGGAGGAGAAGCAGCAACCGATGACCACAACATTACTCCACCCGCCCGCTTACTGCAGGGCAGGCACATACCAGGCTACTGTTATGTTTGAGAAGAACGTCACAGCCAATGTCACGTCAACTCCACAGGCACAGACTACTTTAGGGTGGTCCCTGGAGGAGAGACCCAGCTCAAGGCCACATCACCTGAGACATCCACAGAAGATTCCATGGCTTGAAAAACCACGGGAAGGAGTATTGAAGTCATTAAAAAACCCTTATTGAGAAGCAGACATTTTCTATATTGCCAGGGGGAACAACACAATCTCTACATATGTTTTATACACACATAAGCACAAGTATGCTGACACTCTGAACAATCATAGATCAGAATGATCTCTGAGGACTAGGAAGATGGCAGGTGACCTGAGGGAAAGTCTCCATTTTCTACCTTGAATGTGCACTTTCAAAGACAACAGACATGAAACATACAGAACGAAATCATGGGAACGTCCACATGTGGTGAAATACGGATTCACTGTTACTGAACATTTTGTGCAGAAATGGTTAATGGAAACCTATACTGTTGTGCAAACCTTCACTGAAAACACAGAAAAATATATTTAAAAAGCAGGATTTACATGAACCCCAAGCGGATCAATCTGAGACCGTTTTCATTGCTCAGCCCCCAGCCCACCCTATCTGGCTCACCTAAGCCAACAGGGGTCAGTGTGAGACCATCTACTAGGTCAGAGTCAAGGAGGGTGCGCTGATCATGAGGCTTGTAGACACTCCTGCCAGTGAAGCCCTTTGGCAGTGGGCCCATCTCAGCTGCCACCGCCCCAGGTCGGCCAGACCTCTGTTGGGCCACCCTTGGTACCACCCATCCACCTCAACAAGAGGACATACCACAGAGGGCAGCCACATGGAGTGGAGTGTGACCCCTGTCGTCTCTGGAGAATGGAGTAACAACTGAAGGATCGTTCAGCCTCCTAAAACAGAGAAGATGCAGACACAGATGGTGTGGGAATGGCGCAGGGAAGCCTTTCCTTCCAGACAGGACAAGCCAGGCCCTGGGACTAAAAGATCACAGGAGAGAACCCAAAGTGTGTCTCTTCTACAGTGACCCAGGGTCATCAGAGTCCCAGCTTGTCTTCTCACCGTGGAGGAACCTGAGGTGACCCACTCCAGTGCTCCTCACCCAGCCCTGCCCTTTGACCTCTACACACAAGCAAAGCCATCTAACCAGGAACACAGGAAACCAGAAAGGTTACATGGGAACGCTTAACATTCCTCTCACACTGAAGTCTAATTTTCTCAGCACCCTTCCAAAGCGTACATTTCCTCCTGAAGAGAAGCTGAGCAGACCCCAGACCTGCCTCCCAGGGGTGCACAAGTGTTTATCCAACCTTTACTCCATCTGATTCTCCAAAGAGGCATGGAGGGGAGATAGAACAATGTGTCTTTTGACACACAGCCGGAAATCTGTCTTCACTTGGCAGACAGGGAAGCTGAAGTGCGGGGAGAATACTCCCCCCACCACCACACACACACAATCGCATGGTGAACACCAATGGGAAAGTTCAGCCCTAGTCCCCACCCCCACCCCCACCCGCCGGGCACCAGCGCCTTGGTCCTGAGCCTCTCCCCAGGGGCCACGTACCCAGAGAGGAGTTTCTCACAATCGTCACAGAAGCACAGAGGGTGACACATGTTCTTCATGGCGTCTCGATCGTGATCGTCCTGGCTCAGAAGCCTCTCAACTTCTTTCTGGTTCCCCGATGCAATGTGCTACAACAGCGTCAGAAACGCCAACAGTTACTAAGGAGGTATCGTTTCTCAGATGTGAATTTGCCGAGAGTTCTAAGAAGCACATATCCAACACACATCAACCACAAGACCTGCCCTCTAGTATGTGCTTCCAAATAGTCTAGGCGGTACGGAGCGAGGGTAGGGGTAGAGTGGAAACAGGACCGGCTGCACGTTGGTAATGAATGAAGCTGAGTGAAGGCTACTGGGGTGCCTTCCCTTCATAATACTCGTTTGTTCAGGGACGTGGGAGAGAGAGAGGAGTCTCAGAAACACGAAAGAGCAGTTCTACTCTGTACTATATAGGGCACAGGTGGGGAACCTTTGTCCTGCCAAAATTAGCAACATCAGTCACGGGCCACACAGAATTATCAACTTAAAAATTAGCCTGCTATATTGGCTCAAACTGTTAACTAACTCACTCTTAAATTAATGTGATGGCTGGATTGGCAGTTGCCTTGGCAGGGCCAGACCAGATGATTTCAAGGGTCTTATATGGCCCACAGGTTGGATGGTCCCCATCCCTATTATAGGGGCACTATGAAGTCCTGGTATAATGCTGTAGGATAAGCACTGGACTGCTAACCAAAAGGCTGGTGGTGCAAACCTACTTCAAACCCACCAGCCACTCCTTGGAAACCGCATAGAAGGTGGCTATGAATTGGAAGCAAGTTGAATGCACTTAACAACAACATCATCATAGGAGTACTATGAGGTGAAATGGGCTTGATGGCAGTGGGTTTGGGCTTTATTTATTTAATGTAAACATTAGAAATTTTCCAGAATTAAAAAAATGATAATGGGATAAAAATAACCATAGGAGTGGAGGGCACTCCATCTCTGCCCCTGGGAGTGGATTCTGGTCTCTGCCGGCCCTCTTCATCTTGTATTCTAACACAGCCTCTGTCTGGAGGCCCTCTTCATCTTGTATTCTAACAGAGCCTCTGTCTGGAGGCAAAGAGGAGACGAGGTATCATCAACAGGAGAGCTCACCCACAGACGGCCCTGCAGCTCCCCAGGGCTCTTCCTGCTCACCCTGTCCATCCTGGATGCTCCCCCTCAGGAACCTCTCTGGATCTGAGGAGCCCGGAAGCATCAGTAGGCTCCCTGGGGACACTGCTCCACTGTATCGAACAAACCACATGCCTATGCCTGGATTGAGGGTTCTTCGAGTCACAGAGGCCTCCATTCTGCATGGGCATGGATGGCTTCATCGGCTCATCACTGTGCTGCCCAGCACAGCTCCAGCATGGCACACGGTGAGGGCTTTGCTGGCTCCAACTTAAAAACCTCAGCATTCCTACCACTCTCCCTGTGCACAAAATGATCTTCAGTAGATCTGAAAATGATGCCAAATGGAGTGTGTGCCTCACGCGCCTGAGCCACACAGCTTTCTGGTGTCTTTACCTTAAACAAGCAGTCGATGGGAGTTGAAGTCATCTGAGACAGCAAGTTCATTCTTTGCTTAAGGAAAATTCTGTCACCAAAACCCTCAGACTCCTGCAGGGAAAACCAAACAATCCAGCTTTTGTGTACACAAGACAACAGGACCGTTCATCCGAAAGAGACACCCAAGAATCCTCCTTGCCATTTCCCACACAACAGGCTCAGCAGTGTACGTACACACGTACACACACGTGCACGTCTGGCTCCACTCACTGAGACGATGAGCAGACCCTCCCCAGGCTGGGAGAAGGCTTCCTGGCAGTCCTTCAGGGAGTGTTAACTCTGGGGGGCGGGGAGCCGCGAGTAGGGAACATCCAGCCCACGGCCCATATAAGGCCTGCAAAATCATTTGGCCTGGCCCTGCCAAAGCAACTGTAGTTCCAACCATCCCATTTGCTGTTGTTAAGTGCTATCGAGTCAGTTCTGACTCATAGCGACCCTGTCTAGGGTTTCCAAGGAGTGGCTGGTGAGTTTGAACCGCCGACCTTGTGGTTCAAACCGACCTTGCTGTCAAGTGCTAATCCTACAGTGCCACACCAGGACACTAGCCATCACATTAGGGTGAGTTCATTAAATGTTGGACCAAATATATAGCAAGCTAATTTTTAAGTTAATGATCTTGTATGGCTTGCAAATAATGTTCTAAATTTTGACAGGAAAAACGTTCCCACCCCTGTTCTAGAACCTATTTCCTGGTGGCTGTCTCCAAGAGTGGCATCACACCAGCTGCTGTGTGTGTGCATGTGTGGAGTGGGTCTCCTCTCAGTGTGGAATGTAACATGCACACAGCATCATACCCGATGGGAACCTGGGCTTCATCTTCCAGAACATCCTGGTCTCCTCTCCCTTCAATCATCCACCCTGCCTGCATAGTCCTATCACCTGTCCCTTTATCTAGGCTACCAAAGGAGTCCTAGTGTGGCTCTGTAAGATTAGCATTAGACTGGTAACCAAAAGGTCAGTGGTTCAATGCCACCAGCAGCTCCTGAGAAACTCTATACAGAGTTGCTAGGAGTTGGATTCAACTCAACAGCAATGAACACCACCACCATTAGGAAAAGCATCTCATGGGCTGGGCTGGCTCTGGACCCTAGCAGCCCACCTGTTTAGCATACTTACTAAGACAGCTCACAACATGGTAGCCACAGGCCCAAAGTCCATTAACACAATGGGGAATTCCTGACAAAAAGGAATTAGCACCATGGGTTAACGCACAGTACTGCAAAGTCAGTCTGAACCGCAATCGGCGTTTCAAGCTCACCAGCTGCTCCTCAGAAACCCTAATACAGGGTTGCTATGGGTCAGAACCGACTCAACGGCACTTAAAACCACCACAAGGGGCAGTGATGGAGAGAGGCAGGTCTTCTAGGACTTGAACATCGATGAAGCACAAGCTCTCACCAGTGACAGCGTTATCAGCTGAAGTCAACTTGGAAAGGACCAAATACTATGTATTGGTGGTTATGTGCTGTGGAGTCAGTTCTGACTCATAGTGACCCTGTATAGGGCTTCCAAAGCTGTACATCTTTACGGGAGCAGAACGCCTCATCTTTCTCCCGTGGAACAGCTGGAAGTTTCGAACTGTTGACCTTGAGGTTCGCAGCCCAATTTGTAACCACTACGTTACCATATATTTTTTATTGTTGTTGTGAAGTGCCGTCGAGTCGGTTCTGACCCATCGCGACCCTGTATAGGGTTTCCCAGGAGCAGAGCTGGTGAGCTTGAATCAGACCTTGTGGTTCAGACGGCTTTGCAGTCTGGCGCATTAGCCCACAGCGCCACCCCAGGGCTTCACCATACATACTAGGAACCCAGTCAAGTGAGGGAGAGCCTCGATGACACGGGCTGCCACAGTGATTCCAGCAACAAAGCTCACACACAGCAATGACTGAGGAGGACGCAGGACCGGGCACTGTTTGTTCTCATCTACAAAGGTATCTCTGCGAGTGAGAACCACCTTGGCGGCATCAAACAACAACAGAGAGCAAGGCCAGAAACATGTCAAACTGAACCCATAATGGGTATAGGTTATTTCAAGGTCTCCCCCCGCAAAACATTTCATACAGAAGAGCAATCCCAGCAATGTTTGTTTCTGACAGCTAGAACCTTCATATGTAGGCCTGCTTTGAAACTGTTCAGTCTCCAGCGTGGTTTATGTTGGGGATGACATCTTTGTGAAACTACATTATTACGTAGCAGACCTTGTGGAATCCTGTCAGAGAAGGAAAATTCAAATTCAAATCTTTTCCACTAACACAGAGTGATGGGAAACTTGAGGGAGTTGGGAACAAGCCGTTCCTGTTGAGTTCTGGCTTTCACGGGTTTCAGCGTGACATATTCATGAGTCCATCCTGAGAAGAATTTGCTTTCCTAGTTGTTAGTCCTTAATCCTTTTCAGAAATCTCACTTGGGTCCCTTCGCTAGGAAACGACACCGATACAAAGTCATAAATTCACCATTCAGAACTTCATTCCTTAAAAGAAAGCAGTCAACCCCACAAAAAAGAGGGAAGAGAAGCAAATACTGTTGAATGATGATGCACAGAGGAGACTGTAATCATTGCAATGAAACGAGGCGTGTAAGACTGACGTTCTCCCACGTAAACTATCATTCATTCACAATAAAAACTTAGAGAAAGCAGTCAAGAAGTGAAGGCCGAGGCAATATGACAAAAGGAACCACACTGCTGGTATCGCAGACGACCAAGAAGCCACAAAACGTGCTCTGTCAACAGCAGGCCAAGCCAAAAAAGGTCTGGCTTCCCAGAAAGCCCTAAGGATATGCACACTGTGTCGCAAAGTCTAGCAAAACCCACCACTCCCAGACAAGATTCCTTGCCCATCCAAGGAACAAGAGTCGTTCTAGATGCAGGGACAATAGAAGAGGGAGTTAGGGGCACCAGTGCCACTGCATGCTTCAAAATAAAATGGGACTTTCAAATATCACATTTGCCACTGACGACCACCAAACAAAGGTGAAACAGCCAGGATTATCCCTGGTGTAGACAAGACAAATAACAGAGGCTTTGAGATCAGACTTGCCCAAGGTCAAAGAGCAGTACTGGATGTAAACAAATAACCACACAAAAGGGGCCCACACCCCCAAATGCAATATTCTCTGAAGTAAATGTAAGTGAAACCGCTCACTGGTACTTCCGGTAAGCCTTTTTTCTCCTGGCAATCCGGCCAAAAATCTTCCTGCCTAAGTGCCCAGGAAGCATGAAGACAGAATGGCCCCTTCAAGAGGGGGAGACCTCCGAGTGGCAAAAGGATATAACCCTGGCCCATCAGGGAGAAGCACACCAGATTCCCCTACTGGGTGGCAGAGCCAGAAGGAGAGTGGCTTCTCAGACCAATGGGGCAGAGGTGTGGAAAGGAACCACAGGGTAGGGTACAACCCCGCCCCCAACTACACACTCGGAAAACCTGCAAGTTGTTGTTGTTAAGTGCCGACCCATAATGACCCTGTACAGGGTTTCCGAGGCTGTAAATCTTTACGGGAGCAGAAAGCCTCATCTTTCTCCCACGGAGCAGCTGGTAGTTTCGAACTGCGGACCTTGCGGTTCGCAGCCCGATTCGTAACCACTACACTACCAGAGCTATCAGCACCTCTCCAAACCTGAGAACACCAATAGTCATGGAACCTCAGGCAGAAGACATTCACAGGAGAGAGCCGACTCCCACCTGTAGAGATGGTGATGAGTCTGATTGAGCACACAGCTATGCGTGTTACAGAAACAAAATCACCTCTTTCCTAGCTAAAGCTTACCAAACTAACCAGGAAAACACCACAGAATCCTAACTATGTAACCACCAATAGTCTGTCATTTCTTACAGATCATGATGAAGAAATCCAAATTCACCATTTTGGGCTTTCTTTTCTAAGAAACCAATTTCCACCCATAGAGACACTGTGGATCCCAATGGCAAGCCACAATCTTTTACAATAACTGGGTTCAGTTTGCTGAGGGCTGTCAAAAGTCACAGCCCCGAAAACAACTGAGGCCTCTTTCCTGACAACCACATACACCTCCCCGGCCTCCAGAACTCTTATCACATCTGCCAGAGCATCCACCAAGAAAGGCAGAGCGGGAGCGAGATCTCACCTGCGGTTTAACTGAGAGGCTTCCTTGCCGAATATATTCTATTGCAGCCTCAATTGAGGTCAGGCAGTATCCCAACTCATCTTTTGCCGAACTGCTGAATCTGAAGTTTTTTATATAGCTCAGATTTGCCATCCTAACAAAAGAAAGGGAAAACATTTAGTCGTTGTAAACCCAATAAACAGAGTCCTGGTGTAGAGTCAGCACTGGACTACTACTAACTTCCAAGTCAGCGGTTCAAACCCACCAGCTGCTCCTTGAAAACCTTATATGGGTTGCTATGACTCAGAACCGACTCCACAGAACTTAATTGTTGTTTTTAAGTACCATGGAGTCGGTTCCAACTCAGTGACCCTGCACAGAATTTCCAAGGCTGTAAATCTTTACCAGAGCAGAATGCCTATCTTTCTCCCGCGGAACCACTAGTAGTTTCGAACTGCTGACCTTGAGGTTGGCAGCCTGACTCGTAACCACTATGCTACCAGAGCTCCTTACAGCACTTAATAATGAACACAGTAGATACTTCTGCAAAAACCATGCTATAATCACAATGCAGAATCAGAGTGGGGGTGGGGAGGCAGGAGTTTCTTAAGGCAGAGCCTGGAAAGGAATGAAGCTCACAATGGTGAGAGGTTAGCATCTCCTCACAATGGTGAGAGGTTAGCATCTCCTCACAATGGTGAGAGGTTAGCATCTCC